GCTGTAGTTGGAATGCCTAGTTGCAGGGAGCTGTAGGTGGGATACCTTCTTGCAGGTAGCTGTAGTTGGAATACCTGGTTGTCAGGGAGCTGCAGGTTGAATACCAACGCTTAGAGCCTAGAGGAGATTAGGGCGGAGATTTAACAAAGTAACTGCACAACGAATGCTGATGGCTGTGGATATCTGAATATAAATTATTCTTTTTTTACATTTTTTTTCTTCTATTACATTTCTTTTATTGTTACTTTTATCTTGTTGTTTCTCATTTTCAATGTTGTTCTTTTTTTCTGCCGTTGCGTTATCTCTCTCACTATATCAACTTTATCTACAGTAGTTCTTGTATTTTAATCTAAAATATACATCAGTTATATTTAAATTAAATACAATGCATTGCAGTGGACTAGTTATTAAAGGGGCACTTTAAGCTCCATAAACACTAAAACGTCTTGTAGTGCTTAGGGCAGTGGTGGCTAACCTTGACACCATGGAGTCTAAAAGCTAGCTGAAAATCATGGGAAATGTAGTCCAGAAACAATCTATGGTGTCAAGGTTAGCCATCATTGGTTTAGGGTATAAGGCAGGGGTCCTCAAACTCCGGCCCCCCAGATGTTGCTGAACTACATCTCCCATGATTCTCTGGCTGTCTATGTAATTCGAAGAATCATGGGAGTTGTAGTTTGGCAACATCTGGAGGGCCACAGTTTGAGGACCCCTGGTATAAGGAGACTGTCGGTACCATCTGGTGGTTTGACACCTACTTAAGATTCCCTAAGCTCCCAATGCACTAAATTCCACTACAGTAGTAGTAAAGAGGGACAGGACATGTGTCATCACCAATGACATGCACATTTGCATGGTTGCTATTTCAAATTCCAAAGAAGTGGTGTACTTGTGTTTAGTGTTTGCATGTAGAGTTGGTGTTTGATTGCTGGGATGTATGTACATTCACTGTCCCACACATACACACTGAAACACACACTGTCACCAGGGTTGTATTAACTGCTAGGCTAACAAAGCACTTTCCAAGGGGGTGGCAAAAGTTTCTTCCCCCAAATGCCCTGGCAGATGCCTTGTTAGCCTCATGTCATGGGGGGCCCAAGAGCTGGCCACCTTAGGTCCCCCCGAGGCAGAAGCCGGGCGGTGTGGGAATGCTGATCTCTGTGTTCGTTTTGCTATGCTCCCTCCTACCACCCTCTACTGTGATGTTAGGAGCTAGAATATGTCATTCCAACTCCCGACATCATCATCGCATCATCACAAGGGAGAAGAGCAGGGAGCTCCTTCGCCAGCTTCATTGACCACCCAGACACCCAGCAATACCATTGGACCCCAGGGATAGTATCCACTTCACCTCGCCCAAAGGTAGGGAGACTGGGTAGACTTAAATAAAAATGTTAAAAAATAATGTGTGAGTGTATGAAAAAATGTATGAGTATGTCAGTGAGCTAGTGTGTCTCTTTCAGGGTGTTAATGTTACATTAATCTGTTAATGAATTAAACAAGTATACTTTCCCAATAATTTAATTAAGATTACAATCTGTCAGTGTGACAAATCAGTGAATATGTGTGGCAGTGAATGTATGTGTATCTGAGAGTGTGTGTCTGTCAATGAGTGGGTGTTGCAATGCTGGTCAGTGAATGTGTGTTTGAGTGTGTGGCTGTCATTGTGTGTGTTGGTCAGTGAGTGTGTAGCGGTCAGTGAGTGTGTGTGTCTGTCAATGAGTGAATGTAAGTGTTTGTATCTGAGAGTGGGTACTGTCAGCAAGTGGGTGTGTCAGCATATGTCTGTTAGCCAAAGTGTGTGTTGGCCTTAAACAGGAAGGGGTGCACCCTTTACAGTAAAGGGTGGGGCAAATTTAGGTTGGAGGTACCAGAGTTTAATCACGACTAGGGCAGCACAAAATCAAAATACACCACTGACTGACACACATAGATACACAGATGCAGTGGGTGTGGGGAGGGGATAGGGGCCAAAGTGTATGTGTTGGGATATATGGGCTGAAGCATGTGGAGTATAGCAGTTAAAGTATGTGAGGGCGAAAAGGCCTGTAATGTTTGTGGCGATAGTTGCAATAGTGTGTGGAGGATAATAGCTGGTATATATAGGGGACATGGGCTGTAGTATGAGGGAGACAGGGGCTGTTGAGGGGAAAGTATAAAAATATATATTAATAAAAAGTTAAAAAAAAAAAAAAAAAACATTTATTTTCGTTCCCTATGGCTTACCTTGGACCAGGGAGGGGGATTCCCTAGTGGTTGATTGGGAATTTCACCATGTCTGCATGCCTAGTGGGTGCAGACGGCTATTTTCTGCCTGCGCCACAGAAAGGATGAGTGTGTTGCTGTGGTAACCCATGACAATACTCTAATACAGAAGCCATAGCAGGGACCTTCTGGAGATTCAATCTCTCCCTGGACTGCATTAGCATGGGCTTTTATCTCCCTGATGGCTGTGGACCCCCTCCCTCTGTTTTTCTCAGAAAATACTATTTTTACACTGCTGGGGAGGTTTTTTGCCCCCGGAACAACTACATTACCTTAACAGAAACAACGTTTGCACATCTAGTTAACAGTATTTAACAAAGTATGGAATTTGCAAACCAGGTTCCTAATGAGAAAAAATTTGGCCTCTGATTTCATTCAAATCAGAAGCAGCAGCTGATAAGCAGACCCAGAAGGTTAAAATCCAAACTCTGCTGCTTAAATTCAGGGTTTTACAAATCTGATTTGTTTGTTGGCAGTCAATGGGAAATAGTTGTTAATAGAAGGGCAAGGGTTATACCATGTGGCAGCTGGCTAGCAGGCTCTGGCCACATTAAATGTAAAAAAATAAATAGGAACTATATTATAAGGAATACGTTTATATCCTGACCAGGGCCAGACTAAGAGCCCAGTGGGCCTGGTGCTGACAATTATGATGGGTCTAATTATAAAATCTTATTGACCAAAACCAGTAAAACAGTCTTACCTCCTAAGTGTCATGTACCTGATGGAGATGGTGCTGGAGGGAAACTCATAAAATGCAGCTATGAGAAAACACATACCCTGTGCTAATCTCACGCTTTCATCTTTCAAGTAAACACATATCCCCTAACAGCAATATCCAGTAAAGCAGGAAGTCTATGGATGGGGTAAAAGGGGGGGCCACTGACACAAATCACATAACCAGAACTGCAGAAAGGGGTGAACATACACAAAAAGGGGGCATGTCTGTGTCCCCATGTCTCCCAGTGTTCCCATGTCACTAGGGGACATTGAGAGACATTGGGACACTGGGAGACAAGGGGTCACAGATACTAGGGAACACTTGGAGACCTGGGGACACTGGGTGACTGAGACATGACATGTCTCCCAGGGACACTGGGAGACGTGGGGCACTGAGACACTGTGATACATAGGGGACACTGGGGACTTTATAAAGACCTGGGTACAGGTTAAATCTATCACAGTGAATGCCTGAGATTTTTTTCTTTTATACTAGGGGACACTGAGACACTTGGGGGCACTGGGAGACTAGAGGATTCTGAGATACTAGGGGACACAGAGACACTGGGAGACATGGGGCACTTAGACATTGAAACATACAGGACACTGTGATACATAGGGGACACTGGAGACTTGATAAAGACCTGGGTACAGGTTAAAACGTTGCTGTGCCCAATAAACCTGCTTAAATCTTTCACAGTGAGTGCCTGAGATATTTTATTTTATACTAGGGGACACAGACACTAGGAGACATGGGGACACTGGGAGACATTGGAACACAGACACTGGGAGACTAGGAAACACTCAGACACTAGGGACACAGAGACACGGGGATACTGAGATACTAGGGACACTGACTGGGAGACATGGGGACACTGGGAGTGCCCCATGTCTCCCAGGTCTCAAAGTCACCCCGTGTCCCCCAGTTTCTCCATGTCTCTCAGTGTCCCAATATCTCAGCGTCCCCATCTCTCGCAGGCTTGGAGCTGTTGTCTGGACTCTGTGCAGAGCTGCTCCCCCGCGGATCAGTGAGTAGTGAGAGGCAGGGAGGGAGATGCTGTAACGTCTTATCCCTGCCTCTCTCCATACAAACAGCGACCCCTACTGGCTGGCGCTGGTATTGCTGAATAATCTCTGTTTATACTGAGACAGACATTTGTATTGCCGGTATTACTGCAATACCGGCACCGGCTAGGCAACCTCAAATACCTGAAAAATTCTTCTGAGAAATACCAGGCAACCCTAATACATGAGAAATTCCTGGCAACCCTAGGAGTACTATTTTTTATTTTTAAATCAAAGGGCCTATTACATGGGCCTGCAGCTCCGTCAGCCCCTATGTTAATCCCTTTAACTCTTAAACGACAGAATTGAGCAGTGAGACGGCAGGGGTATAATCTAGATGGCAAAACTAGTTTATTAAACTAAAGTTGTTTTGATGCGTCTAGTATCCCTTTCACATAAGTTTCCATCCTAATTCACATCCTCAAACTTAAAGGACCACTCTAGGTACCCAGACCACTTCAGCTTAATGAAGTGGTCTGGGTGCCAGGTCCTTCTAGGGTTAACCCATTTTTTTTATAAACAGCAGTTTCAGAGAAACTGCTATGTTTATGAATGGGTTAAGCCTTCCCCCAAAGCCTCTAGCGGCTGTCTCATTGACAGCCGCTAGAGGCGCTTGCGTGCTTCTCACTGTGAAAATCAGTGAGAGCACGCAAGCGTCCATAGGAAAGCATTGTAAATGCTTTCCTATGCGATCGGCTGAATGCGTGCGCAGCTCTTGCCGTGCGTGCGCATTCAGCCGAATGGGCGGAGAGGAGGAGGAGAGCTCCCCGCCCGGTGCTGGAAAAAGGTAAGTTTTTACCCCTTTCCAGAGCTGGGCGGGAGGGGGACCCTGAGGGTGGGGGCACCCTCAGGGCACTATAGTGGTCCTTTAAGGATACTCTGTTTTCCCCACTTAATCCCTGGTAACAAAATGGACAGCACTTATTGAAATATATTTATTTAAATTTTGACAAGACAGTACAGAGAAAAAGATACAAGGTTATGTAATACTGTGAATTTATTTAGAAATCATTACCCATAATCATATTTTAGCTATAATCTACAGTTATTTTTTAACATTGTTAAACATGTTATTAAGCATGTTGCCATGTAAAATGCATTCAGATTTATTTATTTTAATTATGTCCTTGAGAGTACGTATACATAATATGTATTATAAATGTCTTTTTATTTTTTTAAATGTAGCTTAATGATTGAAGATACAATGGGGCAGATATATTGAGAGACTAACTTAGTGGTAGGTCTTGCATTTAATCACTTTTGCACAGTTGGTTAATTTATGTAGTGTAAAATGGATTGAAAGAGCTGGAGGATATATTCAATGGAGAAACCTATAGTACTGAAAAGTACTGCTCATGAACTAAGGAATTTTCCAGAGAAGTTTTTAAAATCTGTTGAGAAAGCTTAACATATAAGCTAAATATCAGCTTGGAAAGGAATAAAGTGATATTCTAATTCACAAGTTGCAGCTGTGTGGTTGAGTATATCAAAATGATAGATTTGTTTGACCAGCAGGTCTGGTGATTTCTTTATCCATATTAGATGAGCAATTTCTTTGTCTGCTACAATACACAACTTTCCAGGGCTAACATTCTAGGTTATTCACTCATAAGAAAATTTGTAGGGTAGACAAAATCATAACCACCACTCGTTCCCTCCTTACCCCATTATAACTACATACGTACCCAACATATTTCCTGCTTCATTGCAAGACGTCTCCAGAATACTACGCTCAATAAGCAGCATGCTGCCCCAAATAGTTAAACAGAATCAACAGCAAATTTGACTTTTTTCAGAAGCTGGTCGCTCACACATGTTATAGAGGTTTAGACCACAGTACAGCTATCCAAAGCACATATGCATAGAGAAAATAGCTTCATGTACAAGAATGTAACAAAAAACAAAACTACCCCAATTGAAATGAACTATTCCCTCATCACTAAACTTTACAGGAAAAATGTTGACAGAACAAACTACCGGTATATATAATTGTGAATATATATATATATATATATATATATATATATATATACACACACACACACACACACACACACACACACACACACACCAGTAGTGTTCAGTTTAAATATGCAGTGAATATATAATTTACAGTGCTTATGGTTTATATAAACTAGCATATTCCCTGTTTGACTAAAACTGGAGAAGTCACAATAACAGTTAGTGTTCAAAAGAACAATTACCAACGTGGGTTTGAATACGTCAGGACCCAAAAATGTTAAAGTGGCTCTTGACTTGTTCCCTGCTATATGATGTAATGTACGGTGTGTAGTTGTAGTCAGCAGACACTTTGGTTAGCACTGAATGTAGTTTGCTCAAAAAAAAAAAAAAAAAAGTGGCAGTGTAAAGATGTCTTGTGTACCCTTTGATTGACAGGCAACATATGGCTTTGTCCTAACTTCAACCTTAAGAATTACGTTGCTGAATTAACCTTTTAAAATGTCATGAATCTGTATATACACAGCCAGGGCCGCCATCAGGGGGTGACAACCATGACGGTTGTCACGGGCCCGGCGGTCCTGGGGGGCCCGGACTGCACAGGTAATCCTCTGCATGCCCGGGCCCCCAGCACTTTAATGTGTGTATGTATGTATGTGTATATATATATATATATATATATATATACACACATATACATATATATATATATACACATACATACATACATATACACACACACACACAATATATATTGTATCGAGTACCGCTATGTATATATGCCTCTGCGGGCCCTGCTGGCTTCCAAGCAGGGCCCAGGATATACTTACCTTCCCCTCCAGCACTCTTGTGAGCCACAGAAGTAAAGCGCTGCCCCGGGTTGTCATGACAACGCTCCGCAGAACGCAATGCATGCTGGGCTCGCATCAGAAATAGAGCACTGGCTGGCAGGATGGAGAACATGGAGGGAGTCTGCTGGGCTCCTCCTTGCTGGCCCAACAAGCGGAGCCACCGGACCACCAGGGAATCGTGTCCCCCCTCCCTGCCTCTTACCTGTAGCCTCCCTGGGTACAGGTAAGAGACAGGGAGGGGTGGATACATCTTTTTTTATTATAAAAATTCAACATAAAAAAATACCTCCACCACAAACATACATCAAACAGACAAAATGCATCCACTACACAACCATAGACATCATCCACTACACAACCGCACACATCATCCACTACACAACCGCACACATCATCCACTACACACAGCATCCACTACACAAACACACCATAAACCACATAAACACACAAACTGCATACACTACACACACACACACACTCTGCATTCACTACACACACACTACATCCATTACACATACTCTGCAGTCACTATATACACACTACTTCCACTACACACACAAACACTATATTCACAACACAAACAGACTGCATTTACTATACACACAAACACTATATCCACTACACAGACACACTGTATATTCACTATACACACACACTACATCCACTATACATACACACACACACTGCATTAACTACACACACTACATCCACTACACAAACACGCAATCTGCATTCACTATTCACATACTACATCCAGTACACAAACACACACTGCATTCACTACACACACACTCTGTCCACTACACAAACATATAATCTGAATCCACTATAAACAGCGTATCCACTTTACTCACGCACTTTGTATCCACTACACACATTTTATAGCCACTATACACACACAAACAAATTCAATACACACACACTTCATCCTTGTGGGTGGACTTAAGATGGGCCCTGTGGGTGGATTTGGGGGCGGGTCATGTGAGCAGACTTGGGGCAGGTCATGTGGACTGACTTGGGGGGCGGGCCCCGATGGTGGGCTGTGTCAGGAGCCCCAAAATTTCTGGTGGCAGCCCTGTACACAGCCCCCAAATTTCTGGTGGCAGCCCTGTACACAGCTAGAATGTGTATGTATACATTAAATAATAACAATCCATACTTCATTACCGGAACTGGGGCAAACCATCTTGCAATAGTTCACCTTCTTATCTGGGTCCGGCCACTTCCTAAGACTCCTGTCCTGTCGGGTAATGTGCATCCGACTTCTGCAAAAGTGCAGAAGTCGGATGACAATCCTGTCCTCCATTCATTGACTCAAAGCATATTCCTTATCCCTCTCAGCACAGAATTGACTGATGCCAGCCTGGAAATCTTGTTCTGGGCTGGATAATGACACTCATACTGATAATGATGATGAACTTGGTTACACCTCCAGCAGCGAAATTCTGCTCAGACTCCAAACAATATAACCACTTCAAATCGCTGAAGTGAAGGGGTTATGGTGCTTGAAGTAACTCTTTCAAAACTATAAATGTAAGACAAATATAAAATTTAAAATAGAAGTAATAACTTCTATTTATTGTGGATGTCGGATCCACAGGAATGTCTATCTTATATATTGTTGTTTTTACATTTTTAATTTTCTGTTAAAAAAATAAATTAAATAAAAGAGAAGAAGAAAAAAAAAAGGACATACTGAAACAAGATATGAATACATTCTCCTTAGCAAACACTAAAAGAAAGAAAAAAAAGAAAAAGAAAAACAAGGAGCACTAATGACAACATTTTAGACTTGTATTATTTGAATTATATATTTAATTGGATGGCTCATAATGCTATCATCTATCGCTTTCCAATAGCAGCTGAATATTAGATTTAAAAGCAATACTCAACAAGTAAGTGCATTAATCAGGAGAATACTTTCTTTGTGTCTAGTCGAAATTCCAGCAGTGTTTCACAGGAATTACTTTACATTTTGCATTTATTTTGTCATCAATTTAGTCCCGTCCAACCACGTGTGTGACAGCAGGTTTGTCAATGCGGTAAAGAAATTCGGCAGGGTGGAAGTAGCCATGGTACTGCACTGTATCCGGGGTAGTGTCAGTATGGTAGTGTCCTCCTTCTCCATGGTGACTGAAGCAATGGGTGTGTTCCAGGCGCAAGTCAAAGCCCTAAATATACAGTAATAAATGGAAAATCAGTGCAATTGAGGTTTGTTTTATCTGAATGCTATAAATCTCTTCACTGACCTCATTACTTGTGTTTTCACTATAGGTACCTAGACCACTTCAGCTCATTAAAGTGGTCTGGGTGCAGTGTCCCTATTGTACTCCGTGCTCTGCATGAGGACATCCAGCGTCAGATTTTTCCCCATAGGAAAGCATTGATTCAATGCTTTCCTATGAGAAGGTCTAATGTGCGTGCGCGGCATTTGTCGATCATGCACATTAGCGTCTCCCCATCGCAGAACATTGGAGGAGGCAGAGCCATGACACGGACACTGGCACTGGGATAAGTCAAGTAAATAAAAGGAGGGGGTAAGGAGAGGGAGCTATAGTTCTAGAAATATAGCTTTGTATTTATTATACTTCACTTTTATTTTTTTCTTGTAAGGTGGAATTAAAAGTAGTTGCGCAACTGGAGCAAATTGATAAATGATCAAGAACTAAAAGCAGTAGTTATAAGTATTATCCTAACCAAGATTTAAGAGTTGATTTCCTGGTAATGGGGAGGGGGAGGGTGGGTTGGTGGAAATATTATAAATGTGAGACCTAATGATAGAGATTTCTAAATTAGAACAACTTGATCATTCCAACACAAATCCAACTGTAATATGTAGGTTTCCTACTATTTAATTATTTTGTAAAATTACAAATCTTTTAGAGTTTTAGTTTAGGATTTCCAAGGATGTATTTAATATATTTATGAAAAACTGGGCAGACTAATATATTCCCAAGACCGTGTGAAGATATATTTGTTTTTAATCACTATGGTTACCATGCCCATTGTATTCCAAACTTACAGGATCGTGAGACACAAATACTGATTGGCAAATCAGAGGAGCTTTCATTTCATAAAACTTCAGCCATTGATCGACATCATCATCAGTGATCAAAGGACAAGCAGAAAATTCACGAGGCTGTCAATGTGAAAGAAAAATCTATGATAAACTTTAAATATCCATCCATGCACTAGATACCTTCACCACCAACCTGTATACATGGGATGATTTCACTATTGCTTTGCAGTAGTCTATAAAAACAGATGTCTTTTTTTTTTTGTGTGTGTGTGTGTGTGTGTGTGCATAATACCCATATAAGAATACATTCTGCTGTCATCTTGGAAATCAACAGAAAAACCCATAAGAACTATGGTCGATCATTTTTATCTTCAATTTAAATTTCCCTTGTACCGCATGTTCTAAAATGTATATGTATCCCTGTACTTCTATTTTACTGTACTACTTGGAAGGAATATTGTATAATCTCTGAATATATCTATCAAATTTACATACATTTTATTCTTCACATTCACACACTGCAATATATACACAAATGTACTACTTGTGTCTTATGAGCTAGCTATGCACGTCATTTTTGAAATACATTCAAGCCAAAAATATTCTCAAAAAAAAAAAAAAATAGAACCGTCCGTTGAGGCATTAACTATCAGTAAAACAATTCTATTGAAACACGTCATCTACTGATATATTTAGGTTTCATGACAAAGTGAGTTCATCTCACTATACACTTTGCTACGTCTTCACTGGGTACCAGTTTCCACCCATTTATTCATTTACTGTATTAGGGTACTCTGCCTGGAGAAAGACCTGTGGAAAGCACTAGCTATGGTCTAGCCAGCTGCATAAGTGGTTATGAAGCATTGGACCAAGCTGGCCCCAAAATCGACAGGAACAGGGTAAAGCAAGAAAATAAATGCATACGTAATGAATGGAAATTAATGTAAAATTTTGTTTTGGATTTTACCATGACATGAAGTTTAGCTTTCCCTTCTTCTATTACAAAAGTTCCTCCAATACCCACAGCTTTGTCTCCATAATGAGTTTTGAGAGAGTTTCTCATGCAACTCACAAAATTGTCCTCCCCAGTCCTTTTCTTTACAATAACCTCAATGACCTGAAGAATAAAACAATATTATAGGATTATAAAATATTGATATAACACACCATTTGACCATCCAAGGGTCAGGAGCATATATTAGTGGACTTATATAGTGGACCAGTCGAAAATTCCTTTACAATATTTTTGTTTTATTGTATCACATCAAGCCATTTTTCCAAATACCTTAAAAATTTACCCTATTGCATTCCAGACACGGTTGTAATCAGCATCTGCATTGGAGAATCATTCCATGCATCCACCACACAAATCACATTAACCATATTTTGACAATGAAACAATAAATATGCGCCACCTTAATGGACAATATTTTTACAGTGCAAAATGAATCATACCCTGACTTCCTCCACTATAAATGTATGCTGCGCTCCTACACTCTGGCTCTTTCCTCTGCAAAAGTAAATTACTTCAACACCCACATAAGCACACTGTCCTGCCAACCCAAATGCCTATTTCACACTTTTAATGCTCTCCTTTGCCCTGTTGCTCCCCCTCCTCCTACCACCCTGTCCACCTCAAACTTTGCAATTCACTTCAAGATTTCTACAATCAGGGAAGAGATCTCTAACCTCTCTCCCTCCCAATACAGCACCCAACCCCACTCACTCCACTGTTCTATGCTCATTCGCACCTACTACAACAGAAGAGGTTTCTGCTCTGCTCCAGTCCTCCCGCATCACCACCAATTCCCTCGATCCTATTCCCTCATATCTCATCCGCACCCTGTCTCCCTCTCTTGTCCTTGCTCTCACTAAAATTTTCAATCTCTCTCTTTCCTCCGACACATTTCGTTCACACTTCAAGCATGCAACCATAACGCCAATTCTGAAAAAGTCCAACCTTGACCCCAACCCCCAATCCAACTACCGCCCTATATCGCTACTGCCATTTGCTTTCAAGATCTTTCAGAGAGTTGTGTATGCGAGATTGACAGACTTCCTCGAATCCAACTCTCTGCTTGACCCACTTCAGTATGGATTCCGCGCTCGTCACTCTGTTGAAACAGCGGTGACCAAAGTATCCAACGATTTAATAGCTGCTAAATTTCGCGGCCATTACTCTATCCTAATTCTCCCTGATCATGCTGCTGCCTTTGACACGGTTGATCATAAACAGCTTCTTCTCATTCTCCGTAATCTCGGTCTACAAGATACTGCTCTCTCTTGGTACTCCTCCTACCTCTCCCAGGGCTTTATCAGCGTTCCTTTCTATCGCTCTGCCTCTTCTCCCCAACCCCTCGGTGTTGGCGTTCCCCAAGGTTCAGTCCTTAGCCCACTACTGTTCTCCATCTATACTGCCTCCCTTGGTAAAGTCATAAGCTCCTTTGGCTTCCATTATCATTTATATGCAGATGACATGCAAATCTACCTGTCGTCTCCTGATCTCTTTCCGCCCATCTTGACTCTTGTTTCTGACTGCCTCTCCGTGATTTCCAACTGGATGGCTGCTCACTTTCTTAAACTGAACCTGTCCAAAACAGAACTTCTGGTCTTTCCTCCCTCAAGTGTTTCTACTCCCGTGTCTCCCTCCCTACAAGTTTACGGTGCCACCATCACCTCTATCTCGCAGACTCACTGCCTAGGTGTTCTCTTTGACTCTGACCTCTCCTTCACCCCTCATGTCCAGTCGATCGCCAAATCCTGCCGCTTCCATCTCAAAAACATAGCTTGAATCCGCCTCAATTTAACACCAGACGTGACTAAGGTGGTGGTCCATGCCGTTGTTCTTTCTCGCCTTGACTTCTGCAATCCCCTTCTCAGTGGTCTTACGTGTTCCCAGATTGCACCTCACAAGCCTCCCCCCTCTGTCAGTCCCTACATTGGCTTCCAGTTAGATATAGGGCTCAATTTAAGATTCTGGTGCTTGCTTACAAGTCCCAACATACCTATCCTCACTAATACACAAGTATGTCCCGTTGAGGCCCCTGCGCTCTGCCGAAGACCTACGTATATCCTCTGTCCATACTCCCACATCTGGTGCTTGCCTCCAAGATTTCTCCAGGGCTGCACCTCTTCTCCATAAGACTTTCACCCAGTCTCCACTCATTCAAAAAAATCATTGAAAACACACTTCTTCATGAAGCATATAATTTAAACTGTTAGCAGGTTTTCATTCCCCTCACTTCTCCTCCACCTCCATGACTCCTCTCCTGCAAGTTCTCAGTGAATACTTTTCTACCAACCTATTTTAGTACCCCTACTTATAGCTTTTGTGTCACTTTACCCCACTCCCTCTAGAATGTAAGCTCATTGAGCAGGGCCCTCTGTTCCTGTGTGTCCGTTTGGTTACAATTACGTGTCTGTTAGTCCACCCATTTTACAGCGCTACGAAATTTGCTGGCGCTATATAAATAATAAAATAATACCTACTGGACATTACAACTTTTGCTTTATTTGTGTGTGTGTGTGTATATATATATATAGATAGATAATGTGTCTGTTTAGAACACTGTAGTAAACTGATAACACGCAGACTAAGAATAAATACTTTAGACAAAAACATCTATATACTTCAAAAACAGCTTTCATACTGGATATGAAAAGTTTGTTATGAAATACTTACTTTTCCTGGTTTCCCCTCACTGGCGTATATGTTGGATAGCAGCCCAAATTCATCATCTGTGTGATTATCCTTGTATTTCTCCAAAAGACAATTGCCATCTGCTGGGTTAACACTAGCAATATAACTTCCATTTACAGAAGGGGAGGTTGTACTCTCAGCTTGTACGGAGAATATCATCTGCAAAGAAATTGTAACAATAATGAAAGTTTATATTTAATTTAAATTATATAGGACTATGTGGTTTCCTTGCATACAGTATGCATAAAAAGTATACAGTGGATACTTTTTATGCAAATGATCAGCTGATTTCAGATGAAAGCAGACTTGGAAATTTAGAAAGAGTAAAGTATAAACCAGTTGGTAAAGCAATATCTCTTTACTCTTGCAACTCCTAAACTCTGCAAAAAGTGTCTATTAGAGAAAGAGGAACATAAGAAAATTACATCTCGACATTTTGTTTTAATGAAGTCATATCCCCACCAAAATGTCAAATATACTAATTAACTCAATAATCTAGTGACATTTGTAATTTTTGTTTATTCATTCGTGAAATCTATAGTATTATGTCTTGGATGCAGTGTGCAGGTTGAATCTTAAAGCATCTCTTGTTTATATATAAAATAAAAAGCCCATAAAGAATATGGTGGAAATTAACTGAAGTTCCAACACAATCAAAATACATAATACAAAGGAGGGTCTAATTTGAATTATGTATTTTTACTATGCTTGAGAAATTTTTAAGTTCACCTTAATTCCAATTTGATTTTCACTTTAGTGAATAACCCTTTTTGTCTATGTGGCCTCCTGCAGTCTCATGGGATCCCCCATACACATTGGTGTTTTGCAGCTCTGACGTTAGCTACTGGCAGATAAAGCAGTATAAGCAGAGACTCTAGAAGGAAGCTGCTTTAAAATTAACCCCTTAAGGACCAAGGTTTTTTTTGAGATGCAAAGTGTTTGAGACCTAGGCCTTTATGCCGTTTTTGCAATGCATTAATTCTATCACAATTTCCCCTGTTTAAAAATATATAAGATGTACAAGTACATTTAAAGGAGGAATATGGCTTTCTTTTGATATAAAACAAATACTGCTAAGAGTGAATTACGGTTTTAAAATGCAGCATGCTGAAATTACAACTTTAATAGTAGTCACTGTTCTGTCCTCCAGACTTTATTCATTATATTTGTGCTTGTTGTTTAGAATAGTATGTTTAAATAAAGTTGTTAGAAAGCACAGCATTATGGGCAGAACTTGCACAGGAAGTATATCAGCCTCCATTTTGGGAAGATACAGTAAACAGCAAGTCATGTACTTCTCATCGCTAGCCATCACCCCTTAGAGAGTTCTTGCTATGTTATCCTGTATTATGGATCATTGTTTCTTTGTTGTATGCAATACTTTACTGATTGAAGTTTATTTCTACCATTTGTAGTTTCACCTGGCTTGTTCTAATAAATTTGAGATCAAAGAAATATGGTATCTGAAGTTTATGGAGCAGGAAGGTTTAGCTCTCTGTCCTAGAGACAGAACGTTGAAATTTTTGCTGACCTTTGGGGTGAAGATAAGCTGACTTTAGAAGACTGTACAGCCCGCAGCTATGCAGTATTCTTACAGTCAGAAGCCTTAGATGAAACAGGCCTTCAGCAGGGGAAGCAAGCAGCCAGGCTACACAGAGACGCGTTCTGTCACTTCAACGGTCTCTATACAGCAGGACAGCTTCTCCCCCGCAACCATGTCTCACAGTGGGGCATCTTCTTGTAAAACACGATCACAAGCAAGCTCATCCAAGTCATCTGTCGCAAATGCAGCAGCGATCGCCCGCTCGAAAGCCGAAGCAGCAAGGGCCAAGGCCGCCTTTGCAGACCAAGAGTTGCAGATGAAAAAAGAAAAGGCTCACCTAGAGGCATCTCTGAATATGCAGCGGGCTATCCTAGAAGCTAGCATGGAGAGGTTAGCAATAGACCGAGACGCTGCTGCCGCCATTGCAGAAGCAAAAGCATTAGAAGCAGCTGACTACGATGAGCCAAGAGTAAGTAGCAGCATACCAGGACTAGGGGAAGACCACCAAGATTCCATGCAGCGCACTTCAGATTATGTCTACCAGCACTCTAACTCCAACTGCAAGAAATCAAACATGACATCACATCAAATAAAGCAACAAGGTGCTCCGCCTTCATAACAGCGTCAACCACCAGCTTACACTCCAAGGGAGTATGCAACAAGCTGGTACGAGCCGCCAACCTTATGCAAGTATGAACCCAGCCCGTCTGAAAAAGAGACTCTTACCAGGTATGCCCATACACCACATCACGATACACCAACAGCCTACCCAAATGCAAATCAGGCTTCTGTAGACCTTGCCATGTTCCTTGCAAAACGTGAGTTAGTTACCCAAGGACTTACCAAATTCAGTGATCACCCCCAGCATTACAGAGCATTGCGATCTTCTTTCCAGAGTGCCATCACAGGTCTAGATCTATCCTGCAGGGAACAGATAGATCTCCTCGTGAAGTGGCTTGGCAATGATTCTGCTGAGCATGCAAAAAGGATCAGAGACATTAATATAAACCACCCAGAGATAGGCCTTACAGACATCTGGAGTAGGCTGGATAGATGTTACAGCTCACCAGAGGCTATAGAGAGTACACTATTTAAAAGGATAGAGGACGTCCCAAGAATACCTAACAAAGGTTACCAAAGACTCAGAGAATTCAGTGACCTGTGTATGGAGTTATGAGTTATCCAGCCCTTCCAAAATCGCATCCTCACAAAGGAGCTACCACACAGCAACCCTGTACCTCTTCCTTTCCTAAGTTCCCCCTGTGACAGCAATATCTAAGACAGGTACCAAGACGACTTAGGATGCACAGTGTTCAGGAGAGCAAAGGAGGACAATCAGGAAGCAATGTCAATTGAAGATTGGCTTTTCCTGGAAGTTAAGAACAAGAGTGAACTTGAAAAAGCCAACGAAGAGCAGAGTCATGCTCAAGCGCTTGTCAATGTTCTCAAGGAACAACTTAAAGAAGCCAAAAAGTTGACAGATTCCAGCAATGGTGAATATCTCTCCAAAGAACTGCGAAATGCACACAGTGAACAGCTCATGGGGATCCGTCGAGAAGAGGAAATGGAAATATCTGATTATGACCGCAGTGACATCCAAAATAAAAAAAGTCAGAGTCGACGAATCAGCTTTAGCAGCTCAGGCTTATGCACTAAAAGAAGAACAAGTAGCTATGAAGGAAGAGTTAAACAATAACAGAGTGTTGAGGATAAGGAGGTCCACCCGCCCAGAACAATGGCATTTTGTGCCTAAAGACTACAATCCTGCAGACCTAGCAACCAGATCTGTTGCAGCCAGCCATCTCGAAAGTACTTCATGGTTCACAGGTCCCACCTTTCTGCACAGTCCCGACTGCAACATTAATGACTTTGCCACATTTAATCTAATCAATGCCGACAAGGATCAGGAAATCCTCCCTCAGGTTTCTACCTCAGTCACAACAACTTCTCTCAACCAGTTTAAAACCCACTGTTTTAGCAGGTTCTCCACCTGGAAGTCACTAGAATGAGCTATCACTTGCCTAATCCACATAGTTCAGTCCTACAAAAAGGAGCCACCATCTCATGACAACTGCAGAGGTTGGCATCACTGTGAAAAAGTCTACACAGCAACTGGCCTAGAACAATCTAAAAATTGGATATCTGTTGTACAGAGAGAAGTCTTCGCCAAAGAAAACAACTGTATTGTTAACCAGAAACCTGTTCCTAAAGACGGTGTTTTAAAGAAACTATCTAATCCTGGATGAAAATGGCCTGTTGAGAGTAGGAGGCCACTTAAAAGAAAGCAAGTTAGAGTTTTCGGAGAAACATCCTTTAGTGATCCCAGGTCACCACCACATTGCCTACTTACTCATCCAACACTACCATGACCAAACCAAACATCAGGGCCGACTGTTTACTGAAGGAGCTTTACGAGCTGCTGGACTGTGGATAGTTGGAGCTAAGAGATGTGTGAGCAAGTTCCTTTTCAAGTGTGTTATCTGCCGTAAACTTTCTGGAACGTTCCAGACACAAAAGATGGCCAATTTACCATCTGACAGACTTAGCATGGATCCGCCTTTTACTCATGTTGTACTTATGAGACTGCCAGGCACAAAGGAATGAGTGGCCGTTAGGTCTGATCACCAGAGTACTGCCAAGTGAGGATAGGTGTATCCGTAAAGTCGAAGTCAAGATCTTCCAGCAGAATGAGGCCAAAGTATTTTTAAGACCAGTGGCCGAACTTGTTCTGTTGTTTTCTGCAGAAGACTCTGTAAGTGACGTCACATAACGTCAGGCGGGGAGTGTTCTGTCCTCCAGACTTTATTCATTATATTTGTGCTTGTTGTTTATAATAGTACGTTTAAATAAAGTTGTTCGAAAGCACAGCATTATGGGCAGAACTTGTACAGGAAGTGTATCAACCTCCATTAATAAAATAAAATAAAAAAAACTCATGCTTACCTCTCCACCATCTGTGATGTCATGGAGGTGGCATGGTCTCCTCCGTGATGGCCTAATCCAATGCTCCTCAAAAAGCCACATGCATATTCAAACTTCCCCATATTAAAGTAAACAGAAAAGGGCCACTTTATTGAGATGAAGTGGTCTAGATGACTATAGTTGCTTTTTAAATCCTTCTACATACCCTTTTATAGCCAAAAGATGATAAATATGTCTATTCTATTATCAAATCCAAATGTTTCCACAGCTCTTTTGTATAACAAATGATCGAAATCTTGCATGCTGAATGGCCCCATCGGGTGGCTCATGCAGTTATACGCTGTTTTAGTGTATAGATCATGCTTCTTAGGTTTTACTGCTCAATTTACTGCCATTTAGGAGATAAATTACTTTGCTTCTGTTTATGCAGCCCTTGTCACACTTCCCCTGGCTTTGATTGACACAGCTTGCATAAAGAAAAAAAAACTGCTTTCAATTTCAATCAGTTTTAATTTACCTTAAAGGGACACTCCAGGCACCCAGACCACATCTGCCCATTGGAGTGGTCTGGGTGCCAACTCCCACTACTCTTAACCCTGCAAGTGTAATTATTGCAGTTTTTTATAAACTGCAATAATTACCTTGCAGGGTTAACTCCACCTCTAGTGGCTGTCTACTAGAGGGCACTTCCTGGTTTCTAGCACAGGAAACCTGTGCTAGAGCGTCGCTGGACGTCCTCACGCTATGTGAGGACCTCCAGCGTCGCTCATTTCCCCATAGGAAAGCACTGAAATGCATTTTCAATGCTTTCCTATGGGGAGCGCTAATTAGGTCTCCCCGGGATCAGTCTCGCCCACCGGCCGACGCAATGCAGAGGAGGACCGGCGGCGGAGGAGGAAGCAGCAACGAGGGACATCGTTGCTGCCTCAGGTAAGTGACTAAAGGGGTTTTCACCCCTTCAGCAACCGGGGATTGGGGGGTGGGAGGGAGAGGGAACCTGCAGTGCCAGGAAAACAGATTGTTTTCCTGGCACTGGAGTTTCCCTTTAAAGAATTGCATCTCTTTCTCTGTAAATTGAACTTTAATCACATACAGGAGGCTCTTGCAGTGTCTAGCAATCTATTAACATAGCAAGGGATAAGAAAATCTAAATTAAACAGAACTTGCAATAAAGGAAGGATAAACAGATGATTTTTTACAGGAAGTGTTTAGGAAGGCTGTGCAATTCACATACAGGAAAGTGTGACTAGTGTTCATAAACAAAGTGATTTAACTCCTAAATGGCAGAGAATTGAGCAGTGAGACTGCAGGGACATATTCTATACACCAAAACTGCTTCATTAAGCTAAAGTTGTTTTGGTGACTATAGTGTCCCTTTAACCCCTTCACGACCGGTGATGGTTCAGGACCATCATCGGAAATTTTTACTCACCTGGTCGCCGTCGTTCCCCCGGTGACTATCGGTGTTGCTCCTGTTGTGGAGAGACCGCCTGCTGCCCAGGCAATCTCCCCTCTGCGAATTGGGACCCCGTGGCCATGTGATCACTCTAAGAATGTATCTGCCTACAGTGGGACTGCCTGTACTGACAGGCAGTCTCCCTGCATGTGTAAAATATAAAAATAAAATTTTAAAAAGCAATCAGTGTAAAAAAAAAAAAAATATATATATATATATATCCAATGCTTGCACTCCAGTATTAGGAATAAAATAAGCCCGGTGCTTGTCAGCAAAATTACAACAGTCTATTAACAGATAGCACTCCAAGGACTTTGTAGTAAGGTGAAAATAACTTAGCTTTTTATTCAGCAGATGCCATAGTGAATCAACGTTTCAGTTCCTTGTCAGAACTTTCGTCAGGATAAGGTGCAGGTACCATAACCAATGTTTAATAACAAACATAATCATTCAATACAACGTACACATGAAGCACTTACCCTTTGCCCCCAGTGATTGCTGTAGCTGATCGCTAAAATCCGTGGGTAAAAATTGACCCAGTATTGGTTTATGTTGCAGCTGTCTAAGTTGTTGCTGCAGCCTGTGTGCGTTCCAGCGGTTCACTGAAAGATCCTATAGGTCTAGCAGGAGCTTACTATGCTAATTAATCTTCCTCTTATCAAGATAGATAGATATATATATATATATATATATATATATATATATATATATATATATATATATAAAAAAAATATATAAAACTTGATCAGAGGAAGATTAATTAGCATAATAAGCTCCTGCTAGACCTATAGGGTCTTTCAGTGAACCGCTGGAACGCACACAGGCTGCAGCAACAACTTGGACAACATTATATATATATATATATATATATATATAAAAAAATATAATGTTGTCCAAGTTGTTGCTGCAGCCTGTGTGTATAATATGTAGAAAGGCCATTAGGCCTAAATTTGTGGGAGGAGTAAGTCCCCTACTTAAACTCCCAGCCCCTACTCACCTCTGATGTCCAAGTTCAAGTGTTGCCGTTCAACTTCCAGTTTCACTGACTTCCGGTCCGGGCGTCCTATCCAGCTACAGTCTCCGGCAGAATCCTCCGTCCGGTGTGGCGATCTGGCTTCCTAAACAGCCAACCGTGAGTCATACTTACCCCTCATTCCAGTCTCCTCTACGCCGCTCGGGGGTCTTACCGGGGGGCTGGAACACACATGGGATCACGGTAACTTTAACGGAGACCACCACGGTTTCCACGCTAAGGCACCTCGGGGATCGGTTGGTACAACCTTTCGTCGGCATAAAACATGAGGGTGGTCAGCGGGATAAACTGGGTAGGCCAATCTCCTTTCTAGGGAAAGCTCAGGTGTGCAACAATTTCAATGCAGGTTCCTGCAGCTTCAGGGCACACACTAAGACCATGTGCCCGGCCAGGCTGTCCCCTAGCAAGTGACTAACCGACATTAATATCGACAACCTGTTTTTTTTTACTTGAAAACTCATCCAAGTAGACATCTGGTGGAATATTTGTTAACAGGGTTCACCCAGGGCTTTCTCACGGGTCTCGTAGCCATTCACTCAGGCACGCTGGAATGCCCCAATCTCCTATCAACCTGCCTAGACCCAGAGGCTACGGACGCTCTCCTTTCCACAGAAATAGCACAAGGTTTCATGATCGGCCCCTTCACCTCCTCACCGTTTTCCTGCTGGCGCACTAAACCCATTGGCATAACTGTGCACAAATACTCGAATAAAAAAAACGCATGATTATCGATTTATCGGCACTGCACTCCGGGGTATCCACAACATGGTCGCTGATGCTCTGTCTCGATCTCAATTCCAGGCACTACCGTCAGCCCACCATCAACCATCCAGAACACCGAGGTTTCACAAGTTAATCCTGGATTGAACACACTTATGCACCACGCTAGGACTCTTACGCACCAAGCACTATCACCTAACACAGCTATCACCTAAAGTAGGGCACTTGCCGTTTTCAATAAATTCACAGCTGAATTCGGATTACAAGGTGATTTTTCTACTCAAACTATGGTGGCTTTTGCCTCCTTTTGCCATTTACATTTAAAACTTTCCCACAATACAATTAAACTATACTTCACAGGAGTGCAGCATCACAGCCTCACAAATTTCCCTAACAACACCCCCTTTTTGTCATCATACCCCATCAAGAAAATCTTAAAGGGTATCTCTAAAGTTTCAGTTCCTCTTATCACCACCAGACTACCGATAGATGGGCCTATCTTTAGATTACTTAGCAATCAACTAGACGAATCCCCATATGATCCCAACACAAACCTGGTGATCAAGTCTGCTATCTATTTAGCTTTTTACGGGTTCCTAAGACCTAGGGAATTTAGCGTTGTTTGTCAAGGGGATATCACACACAGCCTTAAAACCTCACAACTCACAAAAGTAGAGGATTACTACGTTCTCACGATCCCATCTACAAAAACTAATCATTCACTACAGCCCACTATCATTCCCCTCTTTCCAACAGATAATGCTTGGTGTCCGTTTAAGGCGCTAGACCACCTACAGTCAACTCATAACACGCACTCACCCGACTCACCGATCTTACAACTACAAGGGCACCCACTCACCACAGCAAAATTCACCACACATCTTAGAATCTTATTGGGAAAACTGGGTTACAACCCAGCTTCTTTCTCCGGGCACTCCTTCCGCATAGGAGCCGCTTCATCAGCTTCTAGTACAAACGCCCCGGTCCACATCATAAAGAGACTGGGTCATTGGAAATCCTCCATATACAAAACGTACATTCCACGACCAGAAAGAGAGCTCCGCCAAGCCTTCAGGAATTTAGTTATGTAATAAAGTGTGTTTTTTCAAACTTCTCTTTGCCCTCTTTTATTTACAGGCCCACTCGGACGTTGGTTTCGGCACACCATAACCAACTCTTCATCTCAGACACTATTCATTACATATTAAATTCCGAGCACAAATTATATATTAATATATATATCTTATATACACAATGTCAAACTAAGTGTATTTTTTCATTTAGATATACATATATTAATATAAAAATACACTTATATTTAAATTACACACGTATATTATATATAACTATTATTGTAAAATATAAATAAATAAAAATAAATAAACCTTTAAAATAAAAATTAAAAACATACATATATATTTGTAATTTTATTCTAACTATATTTTGATAATATATTTATATCAAAATACACTTAGAATGAAATTATATATAAATCTATGTATATAGAAATAAAAATACGAAATATATATATATATCCATATACAAAATTACATAAATATACACATAGACTTAAGATATATAAATATGTATATATATTTAAATTCTATGTGCATATTTATGTAATACTTTTACATAATTAAGTCATTTTATTGATTGTAATTTGAGGGACCTGCCTGAAAACCCAGGCCGAAAGTCCAGAGAATTTAATTTGCTAGCACTGTATTTAACCCTGTAACTTTACATGACAACCTAACACCTGTACATGGGGGGTACAGTGTTACTCGGGAGACTTCACTGAACACAAATATTAGTGTTTCAAAAACAGTAAAACATATCACAGCAATGACATTGTCAGCGAAAGTGACATTTTTGGCATTTTTCCAAATACAAACAGCACTTTTACTGTTTTGAAACACTAATATTTGTGTTCAGCAAAGTCTCCCGAGTATAACAGTACCCCCATGTACAGGTTTTATAGTGGTTTTTGAAAGTTACTGGGTCAAATAGACTTGATTTTCCTTTTTTCATTACATTGAAATTTGCCTGGTTGGTCATGTTGAATTTGAGAGCGTATGGTAGCCCAGGAATGAGAATTGCCCCCATGATGGCATACCATTTGCAAGAGAAGACAACCCAAGGTATCGCAAATGGGGTATATGTCCAGTCTTATTTAGTAGCCACTTAGTCACAAACACTGGCCAAAGTTGGCATTCAGAATTGTCTTTTGCATTTTTTTATATATATAAAAATATAATATTTGTATTAGTTTTATCACAAATTACATAAAAACTCGAATAAATACAAATTTCTTCACAATAGTCTTGCTTTGACACAAATTACATAAAACATACAAAACAATCTGGGGGAAAAAAAGTGTTTTGCATTTTTAACACACAAACAAATATATTTTTTTTTTTAGAAAAGTCTTTATTTTTTATCATTTTAATATGGCCCAACACCTCTTTTACATATTTTTTAAAATGCAACAACTTAATGCATTTAGTTATAGCTAGGGTATTATGCAAATCATTTTAAAACTGCAATTCTTTTGACAGAGATGAAATGCAAAATAACCTAAAAATAATTTCAGAAATAAACATTTGTTCAGTGATTTAAAAATAACCAGTTAGAGTTAACACGCAAAATACCTAAAACATAGATCTCTATTCACAACCTAAAATTCATCTCTTGTTTTTTTTTTAATTCTTTATTTTTGAGTGCATGAAGAATGATACACATGTGCTGGTAATGCCACAATAGCAGATACCGGCCACTTGAGAATAACATAACTATGGCATAAAATAGGACTGCACAGATTTTTCTTGTATAAAACAGGCTTAAGTTTGGGTAAAACGTTGACTGAAAAATTATACAAACAAATATGAATATCAGTTAACTTTGATAATCCGCTTAACAGGATGCCATTGAGATTAAAGGAAGTGATATGTCGGACTGTCTGTAATACTCTGGTTCGCCCTGGCGCCTGTTGATGTTGCGTAGTTTATGATACATTTCACAGTGTAGGAGATGTTTGTTGGGCATTAACTAAAATGGTTAGCAGATATTAATGTACTGCTTGTCTGATTAAGTAGGTGGTTGAGACCGTGTTAGTGAGCCTGAGAAGAGGCATGTACATGCTCAAGATTATCTAGTGGTTTTAGCTTACTGTATTGGGTAGTTTCTCGATAGCCAATGTAGAGACAGAGTATTTTGAGTTGATACTTAGGTAAAATGTCGTGTATATCATACGTGCGGTGGGTACCGGTCTGACAGCGTATAGAAGGATCCTCTCGAGTCTGTCCCCTTTCTCCATATCCTCACTTGTCTTCTTTTGCATTTAAGTGCCCTCTGTGTCTCTGTGCTACGGCCTGTGTGCAGTTCCCCCTTTGTTCCGTCTGCCCCACTCCCCCCTTGCGAACTGGCTGTTCCCTAGTCGGGAGGCATATGATCCATTTCTGGTCTCCCTTTTGTCCCGTGTGCCCTGCCAGTCTGTGTGGTAATTAAGTGGTGCCTCTGTTGCCCCTCCGGGTAATCTTTGCGGTCTCGAGCTGACTAGGGAGGGGGATGGGGGTGCCCAGGTGTAGCTCCCAACTGACAGTGTTTTGTAGAGCGCTTGGTTGCCTCTGCTTCTCCGTGTAGTCGTCCATACTCCCCTGAACCTGTCTATTTGAATAGTAGTTAGGTGTGCCTCCCTTGTTGGCTAGTCAGTTAGCCTGCTGTTGTGTGGGTAGTGGGTAGTGAAGTGTAGTGAAGGGTAGTGAAGTGTACCAAGGCATTATAAAAACATAACATTGGTGAACAGTAAATAAATGAAAGTAGCTAATCAACTAAAATGCAGACATTATACATCATCAAGGTCGCGAGACCAACGTCGGCCACAGCAGCGCTTCGCCTCTACCAGTCCCCTGTAGGAGATGAGTGATAAACACACTCTAGCTCTGTCAGTTCTATGGGGTTGTTGCTGTCGCGGTTTTCCCCGCTTCTTCTCCACCCCGGTGCTGCTCTCCTGTTCTACTTCTTCGCTGGTCACGCACAGGGTCCTTTTGCTCCCCTGCTCCGAGGGTAATGTCTGCAGTTGCTGTAGGTCTTGTAAGAATTTTGTGGGGTCTTCCTCCAGCGATAATGATAGGACAGTGTCTTCTTTGTGAGTCACCACCAGTGTGCCCGCTGTGGTATCGGATGCCTCGTCTCTTAACTGGCTGGTAATGGGCATAAGTTTCCGTCTCTCCATTAGAGTTGTGAATGGGAGGTCGTCAAAGATTCTGAATTCTTGTGGTTATCCACTTTGGTGGTGGGCGATTTTCTGGAGTGGGCCATAAGTGCCGCCTTAACTGATATGTACCGGGTGATGGCAATAATGTCCCTAAAGGCATCTGCTGGGGCGGTCAGGGCTTTTCGGATCCTGAAGGCTGCCGTGATCAGCCATGCCTCTACGTCTTTTCGCCCCCATGGTCTCTGCGACTGTTTGTGTATTCCAGTAAGGCTACCGGGCCTACCTCCGCTGGGGCTCCTCTAATGCGCATATTTCTCAGGTCAGATTTCCATACTTCCTGCAGGTCCAGCAACAGTCTTTTGATGTCGCCTTTTGTAGATGGCGAGTCGTCAGAGTCGGAATCCTCCGGCCGGTACACTGCGGTGGCCCGGTTTGTGGTCTGGAGGTTCTTGTCCTCATTACGTGTGTCTGAGTCACTGGCGCTATGCGGCCCGCCCAGCGCCATTTTAGGCTGCGGAGGATGTTGCGGCCTGTCAAAGGATCTCCTGATGTCGGGATGGTAGGAACCCTCCGGGCGGGTAAGTCTTTTGTTTTTCCGCCCCATCTCACTGTGGGGGGGGTTTAGCGCTGGTCGTAGGTCCATTTTAGGGTCTCAGTGCCGTGTCTTTGTGGCTATTTAGTGGGTTTTTGAGTGTTGTGAGCAGGAGCTCCACACAAACACGTCTTGGTAGCTGCTCTGCTTGGCCACGCCCCCCCACAAATATATTTTTTAAAGTAGACAACCCATGGTATTCAATATGGAGTATGTCCAAACACTGGCCAAAGTTAGCATTCATATGAACATGTGGGGTGTGATTCAGAGATTTATGACAGATAACAGTGTTACAACGTCACTATTGATACATTTTAAAAAAATACATATTTTGAAACCGCGATTTCCTACTTGTACTTATAGCACTATAACTTGCCAAAAAAAGCAAAAAAAGCATGTAAACACTGGGTGTTTTTAAACTCAGGACAAAATTTTGAATCTATTTAGCAGTTTTTTTCATTAGCTTTTGTAGATAAGTAAAAGTCAAAAGACTTTTTTTTTTTTTTAAATATTTCATCATATTTTATTTTTTTTAAAGTAAATTATATGACATGATAGAAATAATGGTATGTAAAGAAAGCCCTTCTTGCCCTGAAAAAAACAATATATAATTTGTATGGGAACAGTAAACGAGAGAGAAGAAAATTACAGCTAAACACAAACACCACAAAAGTGTTAAAACAGCCCTGGTCCTTAACATACAACATGGCCAAAACAGTCTGGTCCTTAAGAGCACGTTCGGGCCCCCTGTAATGAAGTCAGCACTGGGAGCAAGGCACAAGCGGTAATTTCCTCCCAGCTAACACAGTGCCATCCGGGAGGAAGGCAGAGGAGGGGAGCAGAGTGAAAGAAACTCTGACTCCCAACCGCCTTAGACAGCCCACTAGGCCCAAGGTAAGCCACCCTTTCTGCACCATCAAGGTAGGAAACGGGATTGTGGCTTACAATGTGTACATTTTGCACGCATGTCTGCATGTGAGTCAGTGTATCTGCATGTGTGTCAGTGTTTGTATCTGTATGAGTGTCATTCTGTGTATATGTATGTGTATCTGTCAGTGTGTGCACCCTTGTTTGTGAATCTATGTATGTCTTTGTGTATCTGTACGTGTGTAAGGTGAGTGCTTGCATCTGTATAGATGTCAGTATGCGTATCTGCGTGTGTCTGTATTTGGATGTGTATCAGTATGTGTGTGTGGCTATATATATGTGCATACATCTAAGCATTCAAATGCCAACTCGACTCAAAAATACACCTGTGCATTCAAATGTCAATACATACAGACACAACCCTACATTTAAAGGCAAACACTACACACAAGTAAACCACTGCTTTTAAATGGCTAAAGTACATAAAAACACCACACAAACTCCTACATTCACACACACTCCATATATAAACATGCTTGTATTTAAACACTGCTCAGTGCTAAATACAATCCTGAAAGGATGGGCAAATGGCAGATCCCCAGCTGCCAAAGAATTGTACGACAGATGGTAATCTACTTTTTGGCCATCCTTGTGATAGACGGGGCCCAAATAATTTCTTGCACCAGCCCTCTCTACTTTAGTTCCATCACTGGGGGGAGGAGAGATCTTTAATCCCAAGGGCAATTTTACTCTCTCTTATTCTCTTCCTATTTCTATCTTTGTACTATGCTTTCTCAAGGCTTGATTGGTGCCCAGAGGAGGAACATGAAAGGACCTGAGGGTACACAATCCTTCATTCAAACTGGTTTTTACTCCATTGATAAAGCCTATATGGTGAAACGCATTTGGATGTATTATACTGCTTTTTAACTATTAAATAAAAAGATTTTGGTCCTTTTACTTCATTTGTACCATCATCTTTTATTTAACTTTTATTATTTTTAACAACAACCTGGCATCAACTATTTCCTTTCCATACTCCAAAGAATCCTAGGTGGGGATCATACCACCTATGATGTTGTCATAGAGGAGCCAGTCTGCTCTATACTTTGTGAGTATATTTTATTATATTTTATAGACCAGTAATATTTTATTGAGAGCACTTTTGCTGTTTTAGGGTCTTCCTTCTGGGCTCCTGATACTACTATCTTTAAGAACACTCATCATATATCCCATAGGCGGGGATTGTACCGCTGTATGTTTATCACACCAGAGCCGGTATAAGCTCTACTAAATGTGAGTGTTATTACTATATTTTGTCATTTTTTTATCCACTGTGGAACATACTTCATTATTGTTTCCATTTTTTATCATCCCTTTCCTGGGTCCTTGATACTACCATACACAAGAGGACACTCACCACACATCCCATAAGCGGGGATTATACTGCTGAAGGTTATATATACCAGAGCTAGCTTAAGCTCTATTGAATATGAGTAGGAATTTTACCACTCTTCTTATATTGGCACTTCAAAGAACGTACTGCACTATTATTTCTTCTCAACGCATATCGCCTTCTCCTATATGTTTGAAAAGTGCAAGAACCACAACTCCCAGGCTTCAGAGACCTCCACTAGATTCCAGTTCCACATTGCTGGACTTTGTACCCACAGGGACTTATCCGAGCTAGGACTTTGTTTACTTTCCAATATTGTAGTGCAGCCCCATCCTTTGTTGTTTGTTATCTACCCAGAAGAATATACTTTTTCACTCCATAGTAAACCAACACAAGTTGAAAACAACAAATCATCTGTTCTAAAACTCCGCTCCTCAATGTAACACTGTATTATAGATTTATCAAGGGGGGTGCAGCTGCACCAGGGTCTGCGGACTTGTGTAACGAAATATGAATCACTTGGGTTTATGAGCCAAAAGTGCCTTTGTAAAGACAGTGTTGGAAGTACCCAGAGTAATTGATTCCTGCCTGCATGAAGGAGTGGTCAGAGTTGGTGATATCTGCTTGTCCAGTGGGTAAAGGGCAAAACCTGGTGGTGGTCCCTGGATCCACTGGAGAAGGGAAGGATGACTTAGCAGGACAGGTCTAGATACCAAGTTGTGGACCAGTCTACCCAGTTATCATTACAATAGCCATATATTAGCATCATTCACTAACCTCAGCATTAATTCCTAAGGTTCTGTGGGAAGCTGCTCCAGCTCCTAACATGTAGGCACCAGGAAGGTTGATCTTCTTAGCCACTGTATTAACATTGTAAATCTGTAATACAATATTGATCAGTAAGTTTCAATAACTTTGGCAGTCTTCATATCAAACTAATCACTTTCTGTCAAACTGCTCCTGACCATATCAAACAGATCTTGGTGTTCTAAATGGCAGACAGTAGTTGTCTATCATGTTTCCCATATGGGTACATGTGTGTGTGCTCATGGCCAGTTCCCAAAATCCCTGTCCACTATTTTTTCAATTCCAATACCTCTACCTAAGTGACAGCTATGTTTTCCAGATACACATAGTGTTTATTTTATGGATGTTTTATTTGAGGTTTGCCCTTAATTGACAATGTAGCTTCTTTATTTCAAAACTCTGGCCAGTTGGCAGTATGTTGGAATGGATATTATTCGAGTGATGTCCATGTAAACATACTGGTGGGATAACTATAAGAAAATGGATTTTAATCTTATGTGTATACAGTTACCCTTAACTATTTGCTAACAGAAACAGGTTTTTTCACTAAACTAAAACGTTAGAATAATATACAAGAAAACTGAAAATTGCAGGCCAAACATTTGAACAGAAAGTATCTAATTTAGCTTTTTTCAAGCACAGCTATTTATCTCTAAAATGTGTAATTCCTTTCTGAAAATCATCAAAATTCCTAGTTTAGTGACTAAATCCAAGGGTATTTCTGCATTTACAGATAAATCACACAATAATAGGACATGTTCTTCAGTAACACATACTTTATCGAGGCGTACAGTTGGCACCAAATATGGAACGCCACCTACATCCGCAATCCTGGACTTCCCACAGATTCCTAAAAACATAACAATTAAAATCCATAAAGCCAAACAAAAAAAAAATGGAAATCAAAACTGAGTTTTGAACAAGTATTAAAAACTGCTGCATCAATTCCAACAAAATCAATTCCTTCCCTACTGAAATAAAATTTCAATAGAGAAGGAACACACCAAAGTATACTGAGAACTAGACTTGGCAATTTTGTGTGATGCTCATACCAAACCAGAAACATATTTCAGGTGTCAAAAACAAAAAAATCTGTTCGCTATATAGATTGTGTGTAGATGCATGTGCACAATTATTAGGTTGATTCACTAAATTGTAAACCTATATAAATTCAGAGTGAATTTCAAGTTCAATCAAAAAAAAACAAAAAAAAACTTGGGAGGGGGGGGGAAATTCTCCCAATCATCTATGTTTTTACTTTGGTTTGGGACATTATATACTGAACAAGTGCTAGAAATATCATCCCTTTTATCCAGAGTCTCTTCCTTCTGGCCATAGGTAGATATAGAAAGGGAATGTAGGGAAGCAGCACCTTCAGTAACGTCCTCAAATCCAAGTGCATATATGTAAAGCGTATTTTAAGCTCCAAAAGATTGTAGGTATATTTCCTCTCTCTCATTCATATTCACCTGCAGCGTAAATACTACACTATATTCCATCTTTGTTCCATCTTTAATTAGATTTGAGGACATTACCGAAGGTGCGGCTTCCCTTTCTATGTTTTTACTTTGATTATATTAGCTACAAAATAGATTTAAAAAAATTAAATTACCATAACTTTATAGAAATTTACACTTTAATATATAGTGAATTTAAAAAGGATCAAGATGGTTGTACAGGAACTAGACATGCCTGAAGGCAAGTTTTACAAGAGAATGACGTGAATACTTGGGTTGTAATGTTTAGGGGGGACCTGTGCAATCTCTACACCTCCTTGTGCCATGGACATAATGACAGGCACTCAGCTCCATGCGGAGTTTCTTGGCTTGTATAAAACATCTGAAAAACATTGATGAAATTCCCACTTTCAGTAGTTCTTCTCCAAGGGACACCTGGCTCCACTGTCAAATTCACTAAGAATCTATAGCATGTGATACCCAAGTTTTTCTGTTCCAAGAAAAAAAACCACATTGATAGATCTACACTGCATATATTATTCAATGTATATATATTAAGCTCAGCCTTCCTCAAATCTACATTTGTTAACACTTTTTTTTGCATGACTACTATTCTTGCAACACTAGCAAATCTTGTTTTCTTGATTACCTATATTACCCTCAAACACTATTGCCTGTCAATATATCATACATTTAAATGAACACTAATGAAAATAATAATAGATATAACCTGAAAAGAAAGTAGACATATTTTTCTTGCTTTGTATGTTTCCCATGGGGGTATATGCAATATTAATTAGCATTTTCTAAAATGAAACAAGAGGACATATACGATTTGATTTTCATCTACTATAGTCACTGATTTAGGCCCGGCCATCCTAAGGCTCAGTAATATGTTGCTATTACATGTTATACTGTTAAGGTAGCATAGGTTTGAGCTTTGCATGGAGTGTTATTCAATTTACCTTGACAGAAACTAGAGTTTTAAGAGACTGCTCTGTAACATCCTAACACATTTTTTTTTGTTTCTTTCATCCAGCTTTCACTCACCTTTCGGTTTCCCTCAATTTGGGAAACATCTCTCACCAGGCCTCCATATTCTGGAGTCTGGCAGTGACATATAGGCACTGCCTTCATTTGCATACACGATGTAAACTCTGTCCATGCATGTCCAGCACCCAGAAGCTAAAGCCACAGTTACATGCTCAGAGGAAGACATGGGAGCATGTACAACACTAGGACTACGAGCCAGGGAGCATCTCAAGAATAGACGTAAGGGATACAATGGACAGATGAGTATTAAGAGAAAAATAGAGCATGACAAAAGAAGAGGAGTTTGCATTAGGCTCCACCCCTAGTCAAGATAAGTCAAATGGAGGAAAAATACTAAGTCGAAGTAGCCCCTAGTTATTTTGTCAGAAAAAAAAAAAAAGAAAGAAAAGAAGAGTAGAAAAGAAGAGTAGAGGAACCGGTATAAGAAAGGTAAGTTGGACGTTGATTGTTACGCTTTAAAATAAACCTTTTTTTAAGATTTAAAGTTGCTTTGTGAGTTAAAATATATTTGTAATATAATAAAATTAAAGAATATTACCTTTCACAGGAAAACAAAAAGGTGTTTGTGTGAGATCAGGGCAGTCCACTATTCTGACATGGACTTCTGCATAATTCTTCTGTAATCCAACTTTAAAGACTGATAACATGCAAAATAAGAAATATAAAGAGAGTCAACTTTTTAACATCAATAAAAAAAAAAAAGAAAAAAAAAAGAAGAGTAATCTTTACCAGTCAATTTAAGATAATATCACGAACGTTAAGTAATATGCATTTTAGCATACTTTTACTGTGTTGCAATGTAGTGTGGAAAAAAAAATTCAAGCCACCAATAGATTATATTAAAGTGCTACTGAATATATTTCTGCGAGAACTTAAATGGACAATCTAGGGTGTGGGATGACAACACCTTTTTTAAGGCATTATATAAACAATGTCTTGACTATAATATATGTAATTACAACAACAGGTACAAAGGAGCAATTGTTATAATTTCAGAGCCCCAATCACTAGAGTGCTGAACTAACAAAACCCATTTGTCATTTTGATAGTCTTCTTACCCTCTGAGATGTCCTCCAAAGCTGGGACATGAAGTGCACAGGATTCAGTTTCTGCCATTTTTGGTCAGCTTTGTGCAAACAGGAAAACTAGATGAACAAAAATAAATAAATTAAAAATTCCAGCCAAGACCAAAGTGCAGTGGGTTGCATGCAAGCAGCTGTGAATAAATACAGTTTTTTTAATGATTAAAGGGAGAGATGTTGGTTTCTATGAAGTACATTTATATATAAGACACAAAGTTAAATAAAAAACAAAAAAAACAGATAAAAATCTTAAGCAAGAAGCCGAAAGAAAACAAATAAAAGGAGAGCTTTACTTTGGTCAGTCACCACACTCCTAATAAGCTTGTAAGGTTTTCATTTGACATTACTCTCCCTTGTGCAGATAAGAGATATCAGTACTACCAGAGAGGATAAATATATATATTTATACATACATTTAATCTATTAGCTACAGTAATGAACAAAAGGACTGTTCATGCAATTAATATATTTACCATGCAATGGTCAGTGGATCGTAGGAGACAGCCACTAGAGGATTTGGATGCTGGATTAACCCATTTATAAACATAGTTTCTCTGAAACTGCTGTTTATTAAAAAAAGGGGTTAATCCTAGAGGGACCTGGCACCCAGACCACTTCATTAAGCTGAAGTGGTCTGGGTGCCTAGAGTGGTCCTTTAAACAAAAACGAACTATTCTGTAACAAATTGTTTTGGATCCATTTGTTTTGATAAAGTTAGAAAATTAGGGAGTTATCTACTAAACAACTGAAAAAGCAAAATTAAGAAAAGGCGTTTCCTTTCCCAAAAGATTTCTCTAAAAAAATTTCTATAGACTTGAATGGTGACATTTGTATATAAATAATTTAGAAAGTTTTTTAACAGTAAAGAATTATTTCCAAAGCTTATTAAAATCAAGGCCTTCTTAACCCCTTAAGGACTGAGCCAATTGTACAAGTTGTGAACAAATCAAAACAAAAAAACCTTGAATTTGCGCTATATGTCTATTTAGGCGTAATTCACCACTTTCATATTATGTGCACCCACACTTATTATATATAATTTTGTTCAGGAGAAACATGGCTTTCATGTCACATAAAATATTTGTATATTAAGCATAACTGCACTTGAATAAAATATTTTTAAAAATGTGAGAAAATAAAAAATTATGTTATTTGTTTAGTTCTGCATGGCATTTTAACTGTGAATGTCACAATACTGTTAGCTATAACTGCAATAAAGTACATATTTGTATTCAGCGATGTCTCACGGGTAAAACAGTACCCCCAATGTACAGGTTTTATGGTGTTTTGGAAAGTTAAAGGGTCAAATATAGCACATTAAATTTTTTTTACTTTATACACAGTGAAATTTGCCAGACTGGTTATGTTGCCTTTGAGAACAAATGGTAGCCCAGTAATGAAAATTACTCCCATGATGGCATAGCATTTGCAAAAGTAGAAAAGGTTTTACTGTTTTTAAACGCTAATATTTGTGATCAGCGAAGTCTCCCGAGTAAAACAGTACCCCCCATGTACAGGTTTTATGGTGTCCTGAAAGGTTACAGGGTTAATATAGGGCTTGCGAGCCAAATTCTCTGGACTTTCAGCCTGGGTTGACAAGCAGGTCCCTCAAATGGTAATGAATAAAATGACTTGATTATGTAAAAATGTAATATATATATATATATATATATATAAAAAGTCATTCTAAATGTAATTTGAATGCAATATATATCTGGAAGGGGTCTGCCTGAGCTCACAGGCATACCCCAGGATCACAACCGCCATCAGGGGAATGGCGGGGACGTTCTATGCCGTCCGCCGGCGTTTAGGACCGCCCCAAAAAGGACGGCATAGAAGGCCCGCCGTCCTTAAGGGGTTAAATTCTTAAATGAGCACTATAGTGTCCGGAATACAAACATGTACTCCTGACACTATAGTGCTAAAGTGACTGCTTAGGTGACCGATCCCTCTCCAATTTACAGTACAAAGGGGAATTTACTTACCTTTTTTCCCTCATCACGCTGCTCTTGCAAAGGTTGGCACAGTTTCCATGGCTGAGATCATCACTCTTGATGAGCTCAGCCAATCAAATGCTTTCCTATAGGCAAACCGCTGCACCAATCAGCATCTCTTCACAGATATGCATTGAATCATCCTGAGAGCTAAAACATCTAAGACAATGGCAAAAACTAGGCCTTCGAGCCACAAGTACCTTTGAGAAAGCAGTAGTTTAAGTCAGAGGGGCCCGATACCTGCCTGGTAGAAGTAGGGCAGGCTGAGGGGCCCATAGCTGCCTAGGAGGAAAAGCACTTTCAGAGACCAGCCAAGCTGGGGTAGATATAGCCACTGGCTTGAAACATGTCTTGGTAACAATCTCTGCAGGTAGGCCCAAAGTTTTGAAACATGTCCATATTGCCATTATCTCCTACCAGTGGCATGTTAGGGGGTGGTTAAAGTTGGATTTAAAAAGTTATAAATTGGTGTTGTCGAATATTGTGTAGGAGGTGAGGTGAGCTTCAACAAATCAATAAATGAAACTGCAATACCCTCCCTGTAGCTTTGTACAAGAAGGGTGCCTCTCTTAGCTAAAACCCTGGGACTCCCTTGAAAGGCACACCTTCAGGACTCAATCACATGTGCGACCATGTTGTGACACTGTTGTGCAATAATGTTAGGTGGCGTGGGTTAACAACATAGAACATTCACCTGCATATGCATAGCATCATTACTGCAAGTACTAATATTTATGCTACTACAGGTTAGTATAAACATTTTGGATTTTTAATATGTTTTATATATTTGCATTTTTGTTAGCCCTTAATCACAGCCTGTGGAGGTTTAGAAAGCACACTTCCCCATTAACATTTTTGTATAAAGGTATATACCCTGTATATATTAACTAATCTTACCTAGTTTATAAAAACCATCGAGTGTGAATATGATATTATATTAAACTGGACATTGCAAAACTCTAAGACGCAATATGCGTTTCATAAGCTCACTGGCAATAAGATTTAAAAAAAAAAAAGTCTGCCAGAATATTGAGTTACCTATTTACATAAAAGGACAGCTCACCAGCAGAGAACGTTCTATTTACCGCCCTTCACGTTCTCCCAACAAAACAGCTGATACAAAGCAATCCTAAAGCTTCAGGGAATGAAAGTTACTGGTAGCGGATAAACGTCATCGAGCCGCCGCCATCTTGGTTTAACCACTACATCACCGAACACACGCCGCAGCCATATTGGTGCAGGCAAGGGAAAATAGCGCGTGCGGAGTGTGTTCCGGTTGTTAGGGGAATGTTTTGATTTGCAGGTATTCGGATGCTTCTGCTAACTAGTAAGTAGTAAGGTACGTTTTCTTTTCATTGCTAGTTTTTCATTGTCAGCCGATATTATGGTTTATGAAACGAGACTTCCTAATAATTTGTTTTGTCAGCGTTCAGCGTTGTCAGTAATATAAATTAATAAGATGAGTTTTATATATATATATATATATATATATATATATATTTTAATACATCATAGATGATGTGTATGTTATAAGAGCTTTTTAGGATCATGTCCTGCCCTGGACCACTCAAAAAATACAAAAACAGCATTTTTTTGTCAATTCAGTGTGGTTTTTATGGTCAAAATATTGCCCACCCCGCCACCCAAGTTATCTGTTTTGGTATTTTAGTGTGCCCCTCCGGTCAGAGCTACCGTGTCAATCCTGACAGCTGTCACCAGTGAGGACTGCAAGACATTTTTTTTCTATATATTGAGGATCACAAGATCGTTAATAGACTTCAGTGCTGTACTTTGGGTGAGAGTACAGCAATGTTGTCGACTCCCGAAGAGGATCCGCCCGAGGAAGATGGTCACTCCCATGAGGGACAGGTTCTGGTAAGTAGAACACACCTTTACCTGCCACCCCAGCTACCAGTCCCCCAGGGGTGATGTCATTATTGGAGCGGGAGTGGAGCAGGAGAGGGTCTTTGTGAATTTGGCAAAGACCCCAGATAACTATCACAGCTTGAATGGTCTTCTCGCTGCATCCCAGTCCTCTTTCTCCAAGACTGAAGACAGTGGTCCAATCCGATAAGAAGCAATGAGAACACACAGCTGTAAATGGCAGTTGCCGCAATTCGCCAATCCAGTGCTTCTCATAGATCTGGCAGCATACCTTTCATGATGCTGATGACAGATGTCAAAATTATTCAATAGAGGAATCTTTTCTAGTCCATATCCCTTAGTTACTGCCTGTCTGATGATGTAGTTGTGGAAACTGAAAAATATAAACTGGGCCTTTTCTTAGAATGGGTGCTGTTTTCATATGCAAGGCTCCAATTGCAGCATCGGCAAACATAAATTCACCAGTTTAGCTATAGCCACTGATTGGCTATACTCATTTTGTTTTCAGTTCATGACATTTTGCCATTAAACAGTGGGATGGCACAGTAAACAATTTATACACCATAAACACTACAAGAAACTTGAGTGGTTATGAAAACTAGAGTGTCACTTCAATCACCAATGGAATTTGCAGAATATTTATTTCACATACTACAGGGAAACATTTTCATGTGCTGCCCTTCAACATAAAGATATCTATTTGTGCAGGTAAAGTGGTTTGAACTGTTGAAAAGCACGTCTAGACTGTTCCTTCAAGCTTGGCAAAACTTTTTTTTTTTTAAATCATAACATGGATCCATTTCAGAGCCATTAAAACAGTCACGCACATGGAGATTGTGAAATATCAGTATAACTGAGTTTTAGGCTCTCCCTCTGTCATCTGGCTTGGCATATTATGAACATGTGACGAGGAGCAAGTCCCACTACCAAACTTAATATAATAGTTCAGATGGCAATAGGAATAATTGCAAGTCAGTGTCACAACTACTGTATGACCCAACACGCAAAACTATGATAACACGAACAGCATATACTGGGCCTTAGAATGGCTGGACTTAATGTAAGAGAATGGTCAAAACAACAAGCCGAGGTTGGGGATACAGAATGAGACAATACGAATACACTAGCCAAAGGTCAGGATACCAGAAGTAGGGATAGTCAAAACATAAGCCAAAGTAAAAAACTAGAAAATATACCAAGAACACACTCTGACAACCAACAAGTGGAAACCACGACAGGGCACTGAGAAAAGGGTTTGAATATGCCTCGCAGTGCTGTAATTGTTCAGTACATGGGCTTTGACCCCAAAACGTTCATGTGCGTCTAAATCGTGATATCACACACACACTGGCGCCATCTTTAATGTGGGCAGTGTGACCTTCATCGGTAAGAATGGGACCCCGGCGTCCCTTTAAACGACGCACCAGCCGGGAGCCGTCTTCTGGGAGGATTGGGCCACCGCAATCCAGGTGAGTTTAATTTTCCCTTTCGGCGCGACCGCCCTGCTAATGTGCGGCCGCGCCGGTTGGGGATTTACTTTTGTCTGAAGTATCGGTGTGGCCGCACTTTTCACGCCAATACGAACACCCTGCCCCGTGACAGTCAGGCCATGAGACCGTTTATTAAGCTGTCGTCCATTGCTGTATAAGCAAATAAAATATTAGCATTTTTAAAATAGATCAGTATATTTGTCAATACCAAAAAACATCTTTCATAACAATAAAGTTCCATAATTTTAGGAAAGTGTTGTGTTTTAGGTTATCAGGTCTTCCAGTTAAAACTATTTGGAATATGATCTTCTTTTAATGCATTTTTCCTTAATCCCAAACATTACTTTAAATTTCTTAAATTACATTTTTAATTACATTTTTGACTTTTCAGTGTTTTGGTCATGTATTTTTCTGAATTAGAAAAAAAGAAATAAATGAAAGATTAGATTGAGGCTAATTTTATTATAGAATTAAATCCATGCATTTGCATTGGATAAGTAGAAGGAATGCTACTGTTTACATAAACATCAAGCCAAAATAAATAGATAAATACCCCCCACTAACTTGTGTGTTAGGGTAAATAAATGACTACAGTCTTAGATTGGGGGGAAAAGGGAAAGCAATGTTTAGCGAAATGTCCATTACAAAATACTTCCATTCCTAAAATGCTACCTTAAGACCCAATAATATGTATAACACAATTAGGCAATAATTAACTTACCTTTAACACAATCATGTACATCTATGTCTAGGTATTATCCATTTACAACTTCGACTCCAAAGAGGGAGGAGTATAGTCTAGAATAAGGAGCAGGATAAACCGGTGTGTGATAAACTCCCTTAATATGCTTACATTCTCAAAGGAGCAGTCAAGTAAATTGGGCATTCCTACACTAACCTATCATTTCACCTCAATCAAATGGGCACCTTGTTATAATTTATTTGAATTCCACTACTTTGTCACTTTTGGGTGTTGGTGTTGTAAGGCAAGCATGCAGTTTATTGAGGGGAAGACGAAAATAATGAAGTAACACTTAGTGTCAGATACCTTGCCTACTTACATTTATTTGCTCTATCCCACAAGTTATAGAGTGGAGTTTATCTACTTTGGCTTAATGTTTACGTAAACCGTAGCATTTCTTCTACATATCCAATGCAAATGCATAATTTAATTCTATAGTAAGTTAGCCTCACCAATCTACTGCTTTGATATATTTAATTTTTGTTGATGAGTGTCTATTAAAGTTTTAAATGTTAATCAAAGGTAGGGACTTTTTAGTCCATTGCTCTCGTTGGGGGTATTAGGATTTTTTTCTTTTTGGCTTTCCATCTATTTTTCAATTTGTCTTATGTATTCTTTTCTTTCATTTGACAGAGGACATGAAGAGACAAGTCATCATTCGTGAAATATGCTTGCAATGCTTTAAAGTGTATTGCTTGTTTGTTTAACATATACAGTTGTTACTTATAAAACATATATACAGTGACTATTGTGCACATCTTCCACCTGTGCCCTTGATATGGAATACAACAGGACTCATGGTGCAGTTACTGATATTTCAGTTCCAAATGTAGCGCAACTTAATCACCTATCCCAACAAGAAAAGACAGCTGAAGGTGTTGATCAAGATATTCCACCAAGCCCTGAGCTTTTCAGTGATACCGAAAATTCCACTAATAAGGATGACTGCAGCACAGTGGAAAGGTAAGCACTTTTTTAATTGTTACCTCTTTTTCCACTACACTGAACAATACTATATAGTAATATTTTTATTTTATTTTTTTTGTTGTGTCCATCAGTGATGACTCTGGGTCCTTATTCCAAACTGAGGTGACATGCATGCCTACTCGAAGAAGGGGAAAGAAACCAGCACCAATGTTATCTTCCATATCTTCTGATGACTTATCAGACTATGTTCCACCAACAAAGCAGATTACTCTCCATGAGATTTTTCAAAAACATTTTGGAAAGAGAAAAAGAAAGATCGGCAAAGCAGGAAAGTATCGTCCACAACCAAGAAAAACACCCAAGAATAAGAAAGAGTATAGAAAACGGATGCTACACAAAGGAATTAGGTTTCCGTTTAAACATAGAAAACACTTGACCTTCAGGATGTCTTTTGCATATGAGGTAAGATTTCAGGGTCTTTTCTTTGTGTGCTTTTCCTTCTCCTACACGTCTATAGCTGGTACATCAACATTTATAGTATATAATTGGAAGTGTGTGTGAAATTAAATTTAAAGGGACACTCCAGTGCCAGGAAAACAAATCGTTTTCCTGGCACTGCAGGTCCCCTCTCCCTCCCACCCCACATCCTATGTTGCTGAAGGGGTGAAAACCCCTTCAGTGACTTACCTGAGACCACCGCCAATGTCCCTCGGCGGGGGACGTCAACCGGCGGAATGAGACTGGCAATGCTGCGCGCGCGCATTAGACCTCCCCATAGGAAGGCATTGAAAAAGGTTTCAATGCTTTCCTATGGGGATTTTAGTGACGCTGGATGTGCTATAGACCAGGAAGTGCCCTCTAGTGGCTGTCTAGTAGATAGCCACTAGAGGAGGAGTTAACCCTGCAATCTAAATATTGTAGTTTATGAAAACTGCAATATTTACAGTTGCAGGGTTAAGGGTAGCGGGAGTTGGTACCCAGACCACTCCAATGGGCAGAAGTGTCCCTTTAATATAACCATACCCTCATCTAAGTGAAAAATAAATAATGTAAAAATGTTTATGATAAATTGGATGGCTTCTCTCTCCTTTTGACCTTCCCCATTGTGCCATATATTGGATAGATGGCAATAAAGACAAACAAGAGATACTGCCAATATAAAAAAAACACAAAAAAAACCCACAAAACAGAATAGTGTAGCACCACAAAATCTAGATAACGGTCAGGGTATATATTCCACGTATCAGTGTAACGTAAAAGATAAAGAGCCTTGAATAAAATCTGCATGAATAATTAGGAACATGAGCTGGAAAAAAAGCATCAAATATCCACTATAAAGTAGAGGATTAGAGCCGCCATTCCGGGGATGACGGTTGTCACGGGCCCGCTGGTCCTGGGGGGACACTCGGGCCCCCCATTCCCAGTGTGTGTGTGTGTGTGTGTACATCTATATATATTGTGCCTGGCAGCGGCAGAACTAACCCCGTTGTGGCTGCACTTGGGCCAGCATGATGAGGCATGTGTCTTAAGGGGCCTGGTCAGTGCTGTGGATCTCGAATAGCGAGTTTAGCCCCCTTTTAAAGATCCTGGCAGTGCTGGGAGGAAGTGAACTTACTTCCAGCAAACACCTGTGCTGGAGGGAAAAGCAAGCAAGTACAGGGGAGGGAGACCTGGAGAGTAGGGGAGAGCCAGACCCACATTAGCCCTAGCCAGCAGAGTCCACCCTCTTGCAGCCAAAAGGTAAAAAACAGGAGGGTGGCTAAAAAAAATAGTGTGTGTATGTATCTGTGTGTCAGTGTGCACCTGAGTGTATGTGTGAATATCTGTCATTGTTTGTATCTGTGTGTAATGATGTGCCAGTGTGTGTCTGTGTATCTGTATATGTTTATGCATTTGTGTGTCTGTATCTTTTTGTCACTGTGCACACTGCATGTGTGTGTATATCTGTCAGTGTGTGTGACTTTGTATCGGACTATGTGTGTGTGTGGCTCGTATCTCTGTGTGTGTGTGTGTGTGTGTAACTGTGTGTCAATGTGCATGAATGTGTTTCTGTGTGTGTGTGGATGTGTATACAATACACACAAATGCACTCCTGCATACAAACACCAACATTCACATACACACATACCCCATACAAAAACATACTCCATTTTGGCCACTTTACACACACTGCACCACTACACAACACACTGCATTCACTACACATGCGCACACACTGCATCCTTGTGGGCGGACTCAGGGGCATGCCTCGTGGGTGGACTCTGTAGAGGACTGATATCTTTTAAAAGTGAGCCTTGCAATGCATCTCTAAGTAATGCAAAGGACAATACAATAGTCCAAAAACATCAAACCGTTTAAAAGATTGCCATATTTATTACATTTTTAAAATTAAAACATTAAACATTCACTATCTCTATGATAAATTATATATTCATAGACTTTGGGTGGGGGTGTTAAAGAGAAACCTGTCATGACAGATTATCTATAAAATATTTTTTGAAATTATGTATAAAAACTGTTTTGTATTACAAATAGTGGTCAGAAGTATTAAAAGTGGGAGAATCGTAATGAAACCCTGTGGATGTAGGCAGCACATTTCATTGGTGACTGAACTCATTTTACATCTTAAGACCACTTTCCAGGACATGACACGTTTATAAACTGCCCCTATGGTTCCTTATGTAGTAGAAAAAAAGCAGTAGTAGCAATGTGTTCCTCCCTGTTACAGCAGTCACGCATTCAGTATATGAAAGAGTTACTCCAACCCTTTTTGAAGGGGGGGGGTTTCTGAGTAATATGCCCTATTGGGCACTATGAAGAAGGTCTCCTCTCCATTTGCAGTATAACCTTTTTACTTTCCTTGGAGTCCAGCGCTGTCTTCCATGCACCACCTCTGATGTCACAGGGGCCTTGCGCGGTCCAATCACAGGCTTCTCATAGTGAATTTTGTGAGGGACAAGTTGCATAATCATTGCTTTCCATTTTTTCCAATGTAAAACTTACATTACTTACTCTATCCCACAAGTTATTAAGGGGTATTTTGGCTTCATGTTTATGTAAACCGTAGCTTTTCTTACATATCTAATGCAAATCTACTGGGTGTGTAAAGGGAGAAGCCTGTGATTGGTCTATTCTGCCAGCTCAAAGCGTATGTGTGTACTGTAGGCTGTCTCTCACTCTCAAACACTGCACATACTGACTCCTACCTTCATGACCACTTCAAATCACTGAAGTGGTCCTGGTAGCTGGAGTAACACTAATGTAGAGAAGGTCTTAACAGAAAACTCCTGTTAATAAAATGTTACTGTTGGCATTGAACATTGATTATTTTGGATACATCTTTATGCAAAAACCCTCTCTTGGCTTCTGTTATTTGGATTTAATTTAAACCCAGTATTTTCTACCTGGAGTGAGTTGGCAGTTTCCCAACAGCTTGATTAGCAAGATCTAGTAAGGTTTAAATGTTACTGCTGTGATATGGGCTATTTCAAGCACCATGAGTGCTTTGTTTTGTGCAGTTTTTTTCAGTAAGAAATTCTGCACAAACTGAAATATTTAATATTCCTGCTGGAGGTGTAACTCCTCGTTCGGAAGCGCTAATGTCAATTCTGTGCATATTTTATATTATTTTAGTTCATTTATTGGCTGAGGACTTTAAGCTGACATTTTCAGCCAGTGTATATACAGCAGGATTGACATCCAGCTTTTTCAGCTCTGCAGGAACCAGATGCTTGGTCAGCCAGCCATTATATTGGTCTCTGTGCATATGTTGGACCAAGACAAGAAGCAAACTGCTGCAAAATGGTTTGATCCATTACCAGGGGAATGTCCCAGGGTACTCCTAGAATCAGAACCACTACAGTTAATCAGGTTAATGATGATGGTTATCTTTTACAGCTGCCTTAAATGGTTACTCTATTACTTGAAGGAGGTATGCTGGAATGATTTTTACCTGATTAAGTGTGAGACAATCACATGTGTCTGCAGCAATACTCTTTTTAAAGACCCTTAAATATAAATAGGGTTATTTACTAACAGTATAGGATTTAACATGTCTGCAATTTATACCACTGATAAAAGTAACCATAAATATGGACACCACTAAAGATTCTGATATATTGTGCAACAGACAAAATCATAAAAGGGATAAAACCAGCAGCAATCACCTAAATTTGTGATGTAAAATATTGAAAACCAGAAATGTGTTAAGCTAAAATATTATTGCATACACATGGTCAGTTTCATAATTTACCAAAAAACTATTTTCATAAAACCATCTGAAAAAAATATATGCAAACAAATGTAGTAAACAAAAATTATATTCTCTATGTGCTTAAAATTATATAAAATTTCTCTATGTGCAGACCATCTGATTTAAAATCTTTAGTTGTTCACACTTCTAAAAAGTTGGTTTGCACTCACATTTCCCAGAGCCTGATCAGCTCTGGGTGGGAAAGGCTGCTATGGAGAAGGAAATGATCCCACAATCAGGTATTCCAGATAAATTAGGCATGGTCTACAGCACTGTGTGGGAGACAGAAACCAGGAGCACACCAATGGCACAGTATAAAAGATGAATGTATTAGTATCACAATTAAAACTGCTTATTAAGATTAAGATTTGGGCTTGTAATACATAAATTCCCACAAAAGCGCTTTTTGTTAAAATTCAATCGTTCCTGTTGCTTCCATGTCTCGGATCCTGGCTCCGCCCCCTTATGACGTCACACGTTTCACCCGTGTGTCCCGGGCTTCCTCGGACGTCCTCTGTGTGCTGCTTGACGTCTATTTACGCCTGTAACTCTGCCTCCACTCGTTCCTGATTGGCGGAGTTCGTAAACCAAATCCAAAGATATACAAATCGTGTGTGTCTCTCGTCCCACATTCAATCTAACTGGAGAAAGTTTTTCAAAGTCCTCACAGTTGTATACCAGAGTTCATATATATTGTCCATCAAAACAATAAAGTTAAAATTGGGAAAAAATCATATATTTATTCATTATTATCAAAACAGGCACATTTAATACTAACCCCAAAAAAAATTATTTGGTAACTAAAGCATTTCTGATTTAGGCAATAATCCTTTTTCATTATAACAATGTTTTAGTCTTCCTTTTTCCTTCCTCTCTATATTTCTGGGGTACAATTTTAAGCACATAGAGAATATCCTAATATAAGATTGGGCATTTTTATAAAACAGCATTTAGTAGATAATCTTTAGATTGCTTGAAAGCCTATAAAATATATGAAGGAGGATAAGATGCATGTGGTATATAATTAGAACATATTCTGGGTTAGCATTGCAATTTCAATGCAGTCAAATGATAACATAAGACTAAGTAGGGACTATTTAGTCTTATGATAAAACCCTACTGTGACAAAAGGTGGTGCATGTGCAAGAGTTTAGCACTGACATGGGCTACTGATGGATGATGCTCCCGGAGCTGAGGAAAGAAGATTGCCACACCCACGGGGGACAGTATCAGGTAAGCATAATTTACCATACTTGCGCCACCGCACCCCAATTGGTGATGTCCTCCATAAATTAGTAAATTTGTCCTGTATCAAAATTCTTTGAAACACGCAAGCAAATCGTCCATTTATTCCCCCAACGAATCAGATGTGTACTAAAAGACTTTTGCTTCAGACAAATCGATTTGTTTATGGTAAAAACACGTTTTTGCCCAAGTGTTGACCCTTTAATGTCCCTTTAATGTAATCTTGTAAAACTATACTTATAAACATGTACTTCTTGTTTTAAAGCAATTTGTTCTAGGTGGATTTCTTCATCACGTAGAGAAACTCAAGTCTGAGCGTTCTTTGCACAATTCACTAAAGAGCATGAATGTCACAGAAGATTTGGATGATGATAGTTTTGCATTCAGAAAATACAAATATCTAGATGATGAAGGACCCATTTCCCCCATCTCTGAGCCTGAGTAAGCTGTAGCTGTAATTATCTTTGAAAGCACATGTTAGAATTGTATAGCACAAAATAAGAAAATGAGGCGGTAACTACATTCCAGTTCAGTGTAAAAAAAAAATAATTCTTTGCATTGCTATTGTTGTGATACTGTTCACTATCAGCAATATAAGTGCATAAAGTGAAATAAGAAATGTTGGCTCATTAATGCTTGCATATAAATAGGATACACATCTAAACCAAATTTTGTGTCCTACTTTTAATTTTATATAGAGTCTGACAGCAGTAATATTTGCTTCCCTATCATATCCTAGTTATATGTGCAGTAACTGAATCTTTTTTTTTTTTTATTTTTTTTTTAAGTGTTAATAATAAAAACCTTTTTTATATGTAATTCTGGAGTGTTTTTAAAAGTATAGTTAAATTATTGGGTCCCCTTCCTGTTCCCCTAATAGTGAAACAGGTGAGGTGGTCCTCTACCACAACTCCAGTCTGTTTCGGGGAGATAATCAGTACAAGGGAGCTTACTTAGCAGGAAGTCCCTGCTAAGGAATCTCTGGGTCCCTGGCATTAGTAGTGGAGGTGCAGAGCAGCACCTGGCAAATCCAGGGTAAGACGTAAACTGTTCAAAACTGGTTTGAACACTTATAATGGGGGGGGGCCAGGGCACTTCTTAAAGATGATGTGATGGATATGATACTTGGATCCTTTAAGGTATTACTGACATATTGATATTTTTAATGTTCACCCCATGTGTAGAGTATGCATATGCCATTTTTTTCTGTTTTCATAAGTATTGCATGAGAGTTAAACAAAATAAAAAAAATTTAAAAATACCATACTATAATTAATGTGGAGCCATCACTTCTGTGGCAATTACATTTTTAAATAAAAATTATTTTTTAAAATTGCCTATACCTTGTATTGACCTTATTTTCATGTGATGCTCCATTTTCTTTTAAATTTATTTTAAAGATTTGGCAAGTGACAGCACAGGCGAGGTACATAATGCAAATGACAAGGAGAAATGGAAACATTTGCTTAATTTCTTTTTTTCTTTGCATTCCTTCTCTATGTTGACTGTAAAGAATAAAGGACAGAGTTTATGATCATGAGTAATCCTAATTGCAACTAAAATGTACTTCTCTCACCCTTTCACAGTCCCTCCATTGAGAGTAATGGTAAATCATTTTTTTATTTATTTTTTCAAACTTCACATTTTTTTTTTTTTTTTTAAATATACCAGATAAATAAACATAACATTGTTTATAATTAAGCAAGTAGTAACTTAAACCAGAAAATGTAAGTGGTAAATATGAATTCATTTAAATGTTTTGTAGTGAAAATGCTAACTGTGATCAAGAAGAACCAGAAGAAGATGATGCCAGAATTGTGGTTAGTGAAACTTTCTATTTCTTCACCTTTAAAAGTTGGCTCCAAGTTAATTTCACATTCTTTCACCATTATTGCCTGTTATTGCTTCCATGTTTATTTTTTTTCTTTGTTGGAATTCTTTTGTATATTTATAAATAGGTAATAAGTGCTTAATTGTCAAAAATATAAATTGTCCAATAAAAACAGAAGATCCAGCTCACTCCCCTAAACAGCAACTTCAGTGCTGACAGATTTAGTTACCTAATCCGGGGGGGGGGAAGGGGTGGAATAATGGGGGTTTAGTTACATTATATGATCATATATTGCATAAACCTGCCACAACGTCAATGTACCCCATCTTTGGCAGGTCCTACACTATCAGCCTAGTGTCTGCTTCATGAGCTACTTACTTGGGGGGGGGAAAATTCCATCTAGAGTTCTCTAACTCTGTCAGCACTGAAGTTGCTGTTTAGGGGATAATGGTGTTGGATCTTCTGTTTTTATTGTATAAACTGTCTCCCAGCAGCATCCTACTTATGCATATTCAGGTGAGTGCAGCAAGCCCCCTGTTTACTCATAAAATAAATTGTCCAACATATTAAAATTGTGTAAATGTTATATATGAAGGAATATGAACAGTTTTTATAAAATTTTTTTACATTCAAATTTTTCTCATATCTTTCCATAGGACAACAACTGTTTCATTTTGAGCTGTACAGGAACATGGAAGGGTACAGTCTATCCAGATGATTTTTGTTTTTAATATGAAGGATTGCATGACACCTCCTCCTCTCCATCATCATCATCATCTGTTGGTTAACGCATTAATCATTCGTTCACTCAAACACTCCAAAACGAGTTTGGAATCCTCATTCTACCACCTTTTTAAGAAAAGAAAAAAAAGTCTTTATTAAAAAAAAAAAATACTACCTTGAAATCTTGGGAGCCTGCTGTAGTGTGGATTAACATTTCATGGCATGACAACATTCTCAATTGGTTAAATGTGACAAATTAAAATATGTGAAAATAAACCTTAGGGAACTATTTTGGAGGACATGCTGCAGTGAATAAAATATACAAGACAAACCAGGAATGCTAAATACCTTTTTAAATAATAGGAATGTTTAAAACCTTTTGAGATATACGTAAATTGTTTTATAACATAATCCCCATGAGCTCAAAAGCTGTAAGAATACTTAAAAATGACCAAATACAGCAGTATTTGTAAATAAATGACTGCTACCCTAAAACGTGTGTGGAGTGCATAACATAAAAATTCACCTTTGTGTAATAGTGAGAAGTTGAAATTCCAACGCAGTTTAAAGTTAAAGGGATTACTTTGTGTTATATTAAATCTTTTGCTTGATAAAATGCAGGGCTACTGCCGTCAAGATTTTATCACTTTCTACAGCCATAGCTACCAACAGCTGTGGGAATGAGGCACCAGAAGCTGAAAGTTGTAGATGATAGCTCATGCAGGTGGCATCTGGTACGTATAACTGCCCATCAACTGACGATGTCACCATTGAGGCTCTTTGCAAATATGAAAAGACTTCAGAAGCTGACATACCTACTTTAAATAAAACAGTTACTGTCCATGTTAGACTATACGAAAAAAGGGCATAGGAACAGCATAATACAAAATGTTTAACTCCTTAAGGACCGTGGACGTACATAGAAAGTGACGGCAGATAAGAACCATTCGGCCCATCTAGTCTGCCCAATTTTCTTCTTTAGTCCCTGGCCTTATCTTATAGTTAGGATAGCCTTAGGCCTATCCCACGCATGCTTAAACTGCTTTACTGTGTTAACCACTACCACTTTAGCTGGAAGGCTATTCCATGCATCCACTACCCTCTCAGTAAAGTAATACTTCCAGACATTATTTTTAAACCTTTGTCCCTCTAATTTAAGACACTGTCCTCTTGTTGTGGTAGTTTTTCTTCTTTTAAATATGGTCTCCTCCTTAACTGTGTTGATTCCCTTTATGTATTTAAATGTTTCTATCATATCCCCCCTGTCTCGTCTTTCCTCCAAGCTATACATGTTAAGATCCTTTAACCTTTCCTGGTAAGTTTTATCCTGCAATCCATGAACCAGTTTAGTAGCCCTTCTCTGAACTCTCTCTAAAATATCAATATCCTTTTGGAGATATGGTCTCCAGTATTGTGTACAATACTCCATGTGAGGTCTCACCAGTGTTCTGTAGAATGTCATGAGCACTACCCTCTTTCTACTGCTAATACCTCTCCCTATACAACCAAGCATTCTGCTAGCATTTCCTGCTGCTCTATTACATTGTCTGCCTACCTTTAAGTCATCAGAAATAATCACCCCTAAATCCCTTTCCTCAGATGTTGAGGTTAGGACTCTATCAAATATTCTGTACTCTGCCCTTTGGTTTTTACGTCCAAGATGCATTATCTTGCACTTATCCACATTAAATGTCACTTGCCACAACTCAGACCATTTTTCTAGTTTACCTACATCATTTGTCATTTGGCTTATCCCTGCTGGAACATCAACCCTGTTACATATCACAGTATCATCAGCAAAAAGACATACCTTACCATCAAGACCTTCTGCAATATCACTAATACAAATATTAAAGAGAATGGGTCCAAGTACAGATCCCTGAGGTACCCCACTGACGACAAGCCCATGCTTCGAATATACTCCATTGACTACAACTCTCTGTTGCCTGTCACTCAGCCACTGCCTTACCCATTCAACAATATTGGAACCCAAACTTAAAGATTGCAGTTTATTGATAGGCCTTCTATGTGCAACAGTGTCAAAAGCCTTACTGAAATCTAGGTAAGCAGTGTCTACTGCACCACCCTGATCTATTTTAGTTACCCAATCAATAAGATTAGTTTGGCATGATCTTCCTGAAGTAAACCCATGTTGTCTCTGATCTTGAAATCCATGTGATTTTACAATTGTAAAATCACATGGATTGTACAACAATTCTATCCTTTAACTTGGTTTTCATTACTTTCCCCACTACTGAACTAAGGCTTATTGGCCTATAGTTGCCCGACTTCTCACTACTACCTATCTTGTAAATGTGCACAACATACTCTAACTTCCAGTCTTCTGGGACGACTACTGTTAACAATGATTGCTTAAATAAATCTGTTAATGGTTTTGCTAGTACACCACTAAGCTCTTTTAATAACTTTGGGTGTCTTCCATCAGGTCCCATTGACTTATTTAAAGATAATAGGAATAGCAACAAAAAAAAAAAATTCAAATTGCTGCAACCAGGAGATAGTTACTAACACTTACAATTCTTAAATAGGTGTATTCAAAACCTCCGTATTTAAAGTTTGCAGAAGTGGTAAGTCTGCTAAACAATGTAATACAATAAATCAGCAATTGTAATAATTAAATCTTCAATATACACAAACCAAATGAAAGTACCGTATATACTCGAGTATAAGTCAAGTTTTTTAGCACATTATTTTTGTGCTGAAAACCCCCCACTCGACTTATACTCGAGTCAAGGTCTGTATTATGGCAACTTACATTAGCATAATACAGACCAGGACCGCCGGGCTCATTACAAGTCCGGCGGTCCTGTTGGAGGCTGGCAGCGAGTTGTAACTTACCTTTCCTGCAGCTCCCTTCTCTCTTCTCCGGTCCGTCAGCTCCACTGTAAGTCTCGCGAGAGCCGCGGGGTCAGGTCTGTGGCAACCCTCCTCGCGGCACTCAGACCGCGAGACCTGCAGGGGAGCTGACTGGACCGGAGGAGAGAGAAGGGAGCTGGAGGAAAAGTAAGTTACAGCTCTCTGTCAGCCCCCCTCCTACACAGCTCATCCACTGGATCACCAGGAAATGGGAGCCCCCCTCCCTGGCCAGCTGACAAGCAGGGAGGGGGAACAAAAATAAAAAAATTAAATAATATTAAAATAAAAATATTAATATTTAAAAAAAAAAAAAATATTAAAATAATAAAAATGCTCTGCATCACATACACTGCATTCATTATATACACACACTGTAAATAAATATTCAATTAATATAATTTTGGGGGGATATAATTTTATTTAGAATTTTACCACTAGGTGCTGCATTTCCCACCCTAGTCTTATACTCGAGTCAATAAGTTTTCCCAGTTTTTTGGGGTAAAAGTAGGGGGTCTCGACTTATATTTGGGTCGACTTATACTCGTGTATATACGGTACATGAATTGTATCAACAAGTAAAGAAAATGGTAATAGTTTCAGTCCTTAATATGTTTGAAACACCATAAACAAGCAGAACAGTCCTAATTAGTCTTGTGAGCTGTATTCTCCTATTTATGTATGGCTGAAATCCCTTCTATTGAAACAGCAGGGAAAACTAGCCAATGGGAGCACAATATTACTCTAGTAATAGCATTAATAGTATGGTACACATAAATAATAATGCAATCCACTGTGTGAAGAAATGTCGATGTAGAAATGTATAATGAACTTTTCTACATATAAATCAAGTTATTAACCGACAATGTTCTCCATCCAACACCAGCCGTTGGTCTTCATAGTATAAAGTGCAGAAACATGTCTTTCATCAAAAAAGATTTTATTCTAAAAAATATATATAATTATGTAAATATATTAAAATCAAAGTTATTCACAGACGGCACAAAAGTGTAGGAACCTTTTTCTGGAGTCTCACCACCCTCAGTCTTGATACTCTGCTGTTGCTGACTGTCAGAAGCCGGCTTACAGACAGCTGCAGAGTCCTGTGTGTCGAGGAACTGAAAATGAGATTCGCCGCGTTCGTTCCACTTTGGTTCACTTTGCTTTCCAATCTGTGTAGGTGTATCGGTAAGATGTAGCCTTACGCGTTTCGTGACGATCTGTCACTTCATCAGAGTACTTCTTTCATCTAGAGCTGGATATTTATACACTATAGGCATTCGGTTCATATTAAACCTTTGGTTACTTAATTCTTATACCATAATAAATTTTTAAAGGTAAAATATGAATCCCTTAAAAACAATAGTAATCAAATGATTACATCTAGAAATTAACATGATAAAAAATAGAAACAAATGGAAATAAAAATAGAACTAAAAAATAATAAATGCATAGATAAAAAGGAGAGGTTATATTAAAATGCCCCAATATTTAAAACAGTATTCTTAAAACACTAAAACATAGTGAAAGGACCTTTTACAATCATCAATTCCTAATCTTGATGTATAAATCATAAATGACCAGAAACTTATTTTACATATAACCTAATGGATCTAAAAATTCAAAGCTTACATCATCACATTGTATATTAATATGGTCTTTCCATAGTATGAATGTACTGAGAGAATAAACTAGAAAAAACAAAATGAAGTATAAAGTATAAACAGACCATAAAAGAGCACCAATTATATAATTATGTTTTGTACAAATGCAGATGTAATACATGGTACCATCACTACTTCATAATCATATTGAAATACTCTATTTTCAAAAATAATAAATATATAATAGAAATTGTAATTGTGCAGTTCTTCATTCTAAAAGTACTGACTTAATAATAGAAATATAAAAGAGATAAAATCAGAAAGAGACCAAACAGAGAAAATAAGAAAAGGAGAAAAATGGCAAAGAGAGAGGCTAACTTAAAAAAAGAGTCCTAATTGATAGAACTCTCTCATAAAAGATTCTCATAAAAAATTCTCATAGAAAAGCATTCAGCTCAAAATCCAAGTTCAGACCTTTTGGTTCTAGAGTGTCCAGCTGGAATATCCACTTTGCTTCGGCTCTATCCAGAGCCTTTTCCAAATTCCCCCCTCTCCAGTGTAGCTTAATTTTTTCAATGGCCATAAATTGTAGTCCTTCTGGATTGCTTGAATGTGTCTGGAAGTACCTGGAGAGATTGTGTATTAGGAGACTTTTCTTGATGTTCCTGATATGTTCAGCTACTCTTATTTTAAACAATCGCTTGGTTCTACCAATATAATATTTACCACAAGGGCATATTAAAAGATATATGACTCCGCTTGTGTTACAATTCAAATTTTCTTTTATTTTAAACATTTCTCCAGTTATTGGATGTTTGAACTCATAGATCTGAGATATTTGCATTGTGTTGTAACGGCATCCCATGCATTACTTATTTGTCTTTACTTTTGACAGTTGAAATAGAACCTCTTCCTCTGTAAACTCACATGTAATAAATTACTCATTTGTCCCTTTTTCCTAACTGAGGTCCCTTTCCTTCATTTTCATATGTAAATACTGAACAAAAATATTAATTGAGGCAGTTAGCTAGACCTTTATCCTCTTCTACATACCTTCCTTTTGTTTTTAATCTAACTAATCCTTGTTTTACTTTTCTTTTCTCATTTATTTATCTAAAAAATGTTTTGTCCCCTTTTTTGACTGACTGCTATTTTCTCTTCCGTATGTGATTTGGAAGTTCTTATAACTTGCTTAGCCTCTTTCTGCCTAATCTTATAGATCATTCTGTCTTCCTCACTGGGTTTTTTTTATAATTACTAAATGCTAACTTTTTTTTACTATTTTGGCCACATCTGCGGAGTACCACAGTGGTTTCTTGAATTTTTTGCTTTTACTGACAAGCCTAATGCAATTTTCTGTTGCCTTCAGCAGTGCAACTTTTAAATAATCCCATTTCTGTTGGACTCCATTTAAATTGCCCCAGTCTGATAATGACTCCTTTACACATATTCTAATTTTAGAAAAGTCTGTTTTTTTAAAGTCTAAAACTTTTGTTTTTGTGTGGTGTGACTCAGTCACTGATCTTATATTAAACCACACTGACTGATGATCACTGGATCCTAAACTTTCACCTACAGTAATATCTGATACCAAATCTCCATTTGTTAACACTAAATCTAGTATGGCCTCTTTACGAGTTGGCTCCTCAACGACTTGTTTTAGAGACAATCCCAGTAGGGAGTCTAGAATATGTGTGCTCCTGACACATGCAGATATTTTTGTTTTCCAGTTCACATCAGGAAGATTAAAGTCACCCATGATGATAACTTTCCCCTTCATTGTCATTTTAGCTATTTCCTCAACCAGTAGATTAACTCTTCTATTTGTCCTGGGGGCCTATAAATCACACCTACAGGAGTTGCTGCGTGATTACCAAATTCTAACGTAACCCAAACAGACTCTATGTTCACCTCACTAATTTTTATTAGGCTAGATTGTATGCTATCTTTCACATACAGGGCCACCTCCCCCTTTCTTGCCTTCCCTGTCTTTTCTATATAAAGAGTATCCTGGTATTGCTATGTCCCAGTCATGTTTCTCATTATACCATGTCTCAGTAACAGCGACTAAGTCTACATTATCCGTTGCCATTATTGCCACAGGTTCGTGGATCTTATTCCCTAAACTGCGAGCATTTGTAGACATGACTCTAAGCTTATCATTTTTTAACACACTTGCTACAGGCACCTTCTGTCCTTGTTTTGGGGGGCAATTGGATTGATGTTTTATCACCCTTTTGCCCCCCCCCCCTCCTAGTTTAAATACACCCTAGCAAAACCTCTGATCTGCTCACTGAGAACATTTGTTCCCTTTTGAGAAAGATGCAAACCATCTTTTTTGTACAGTTTATTTCCATTCCAAACAGAGCTACCATGAGAAATAAAGCCAAATCCTTGCTCCCGACACCATTCACCAAGCCACAAGTTAAAGTCCCTAATACGCATCCGCCTGTCGTTCTGAGTGTTATGCACAGTTAGAACTTCAGAGAATGACAGTGTAGAGGCAACTTGCCTTATCTTATTGGCAAAAACACTAAAAACTTCCTTTACCTCTGAAACCTCATTGCAAGCCAAGTCATTTGTCCCTAGATGGACAAGTACATCCAATTCCCCTTCCTGCTTTGCTAGCTTAACAATATTACAAATACGTCTCCTGTCTCTGTGAGCAGTAGCTCCAGGAAGACATCTCACAAGACCACCATTGTCCATCTCCACACCTCTTATGATGGAATCCCCCAACAACAACTGCTTTCTATTAGGACTCACCATAGTCTCCAAGCCTGTCTCCACAAGACCACTACCTTCAGTGGCTGAGCCTGTCTCCACAACAACACTGCCCTCAGTGCCTGAGCCTGTCTCCACAACACCACTGAAAGTGCAGAAAATTAATTATGTAGAGCAACAGACTGTGCAATATGCCTTTTATCCACAACTCTAAGTCTACCAGATCCTACAGTAATCCATCTACCATCCTAGTACGTCTCTGCTGCAGTGACTTTGCAGCAGTTCCAGCCTGAGTTTGTTTACCAGATAATTTACAAATCTCAGATTTCAAAAATACAATCTCCTGCCGCAATATAGAGAACTATCTACAGATTAGACAGCATCCAAATCTCCAAAAAGTGTAACGTGAAACAAATGCATAACATCTATAACACTGAACTAAGTCTGCCATTTCAATGAGGTGAATAATTTAAATCAAACAAATCTTAATTTTTTTGCTCTCCTGAATACTTCAGATTATCTCCAGAATATCTCCAACCACACACTTAGAAGCAGCACTCTCCAGAATATCTCCAGCCACACACTTAGAATTAGCACTCGCCAGAATATCTCCAACCAGACACTTAGAAGCAGCACTCTCCAGAATATCTCCAACCACACACACAGAAGCAGCACTCTCCAGAATATCTCCAACCACACACTTAGAAGCAGCACTTAGATGAAGCAACCAAGCTGTATTAGCCAAGCTAATGACAACAACCCTTATATAACTCCTAAAATCACCACCCACTAAATGTTTAACACCTGGGTAGGCCTATGCTTATTTGCAAACAATAGTTAATTAACCAGCAATCATTAGCAAGTATTTAGCTAATCAAATCAAATGCCTTACCAATTACCAACAGGAAATCAAACCTTGTACAATCAGTAACCTTTTCCTACAGATGAATCTTACCTGTAACAGTAGAAAAGAAAACTCTTCACAAAATATTAGACAGTTGAAGCTTCTGTAAAACTCTCCAGAATATCTCCAACCACACATTTAGAAGCAGCACTTAGATGAAGCAACCAAGCTATATCCAAGTCCAAGTGTCGTTGAGATTTGAAGGGGAAATCTTGCTCTCCTCCATACTTCCAGTATAGCCTTTGTATAAGGGTTATGCAATTTCATTACTAATATCAGTGTGTTAGATTCCCAGATCAGAGAGGGAATTTTGTTTTGAGTCCTCTTTCCAGTTCCACCCAGTTTGTGTGTGTCGGGAACATGCCAATATGTTTTGTGGAGCAAGTGGCAGTAACATTGGATCGAAGGAAGTCCAATCCCTCCTTGATTTTTCCGTAAAGTAAGTTGTGTAAGGCCTATGCATTTTGCCCCTTTTTTCCAGATGTATTGAAATATTGTCGTCATTATTGACTTTAAAAAGTTCTGGGGGGAGCGGAGCCTGGCAGCCTGCCGAAACGGACGCACGATAGATGAGCTCCACACTCATGGCGATTAAAAAACTGTTTTTTGCTGGAATAACGTACTGCAAACAAAGCCCAAAGACCCACCAGGCATATGGGGCGAAAAACGAAAAAACAGAGACTCGACAAGCCCAAATCGGGACACGATATCGGAGATTTATTCTGACAGGCACAGGGAGCACATGGGGCCAAGATGGCCGCAGGCATAGCAGTATATACAGACTCATCCGACGAGCTGAGCCTGGATGAATGCACCAGCGGGATGTTCGCCCCTCTAGCACAATCACCTACGACCAAAAAGCCACCTGAATCAGTCACCACAGACACAAGGAGAACCATGTTGGGTGAGTTACAGCAGGCACTCCAAGCTGACGTAGCCCAGCTCCGCATGGAATTAACAGGCCTAGTGGGCCGCATAGGAGCCACAGACAGACAGGCCCAAGTGATAGCGGACCTACAAAATGAGGTGCAGGTGCGCAAGAGCAACCAAGAGGACACAGACCAACGATTTGCAGCCCTTGAGGGCCTCAGACGCCGCAATAACCTCAAAATTCGAGGCGTACCCGACAACATATCGGCAGAGGAACTCCCACACTTGATAAGGAGGCTCACGGGGGCACTACTAAAGCCACAACAGGCTAAATCCATAAGCTATGAGGCGATCTTCCGTGTCCCTAAACCAAAAAGGGCCCCCGGCACGGCCTCCAGGGACATAGTGGTGTGGTTGCGATAGGGCACAGACAAAGCTGCAATTCTTACAGCCCTTAACCCCTTAAGGACCAAACTTCTGGAATAAAAGGGAATCATGACATGTCAGACATGTCACGTGTCCTTAAGGGGTTAAAGGGAAGACACCCTTCAACTTCGAAAATGCCGATCTTACCTTCTACGCGGTCTTATCAGGGGACACCCTGCAATGGCGCAAGTCCCTCCAAACATTTACGATGCTCCTGAGGCATAACGATGTATCCTACCGATGGCGCTCACCGAGGGCCCTACAGGTCCTGGAGAATGATCAGACCTACACAGTTACAGACCTGCAAGAGGCTGTGCGGCTGCTGCCAACACTTGGCTTCACGGAGAACTCCCTCACACCAGCAGCACAGACAGGCACAAACAACACAACGCACAGATGGGACCCAACGAGGATCACACCGTTCGTGCCACAACGACGACAGCGAAACGATTCCACGGTAGCCCCAACCTGAATCGTGGGACTCAACCCACACAGCAGCAGCATAAGTCCTCGGGACACACCACAGCTGCAGCCCGCAGCTACTTCTGCCTAATATTGGATTTGCATTGTTATTTTTTTATCTTAGAATTTTTTCTTTTTTACCTCGCCTCACCTTTCCTCAGCTCTTGTCCCCCCTCAGCCCCATGCCGCCCCCTTACCACAGCCCCATAACATTCCCACTACACTCCCCTAATTGCAACCCATATCACCCACAGCCCCTTTCCCAAATTGTAGCCATCAACCTACTTAAGCCCCTATCCTCCCACTACATTTCCTAACCCCCCAGTTGTGAAGAAAATAGCATGTTATTCAAGACTTTTATTGCCATTCAAGACTTTTTATGTTTTATTGGTTCAGTAGCTGTAACTACCAAACACCGACCACCCTCTGGCTCATTATCTTCAAAGAAAACTGTTGATTAAGCGCTCTCCCTGTGTGGCTGCCGTTCGTATAGCCAAATGCCACATGCGAGAGAAAATGGCGGCCATCTTGTTTGCACGAAAGGAGGCAGCGGGACTTGGTCATCGAGTGTCTGGAACTAAAATCGGACACTCGACTTCCCGAACACCGGTCAAACCATACGAACGCCTGCTTTCTTTTCCCGAACAGCCAGGAGAGCGCTGTTCGGTAGTTTGGTTCCCACATACCAGGTGAACAATCACTCCTATGAGCCAGGGGGCTCCGTTCGTGTATTTATTCATTTTTATGACTTTTCAAAATAGACTGTGTGTGTTAGTGTCATTACACTAACACACACTGCATTCACTACACTGACACACACTCTGCATTCACTACACTGACACACACTGCATTCACTACACTGACACACACTCTGCATTCACTACAATAACATACACTCTGCATTAACTATACACACAGCATCCACTACACAAACATCCTGTATGCACAGTACACACATTACATCCACCACATATTCAAACAATCTGCATTCACTATACAGAGACACTGCATCCACTAAACACATTGCATCTAGTACACACAAACACTACATCCACTACACAAACACACACACTACATCACTGTACACACACTACATCCACTACTCAAACACACTCTGCGTTCACTATACACACTGCATCCGCTACACAAACACAAACAGTATCTAATACACACAAACACTACATCCATTATGCACATTCTAATTCACTTCCACTATACACATCACATTCAGTCCTGTATCACTGTCAGCAGACTAGGTAGGAGTCCTGTGGGTGGACTCGTGAGCAGGCCGGGGTGGGGTTGGGGGGGCCCAGACCTTGTGCTTTGTCAGGGGCCCCAAAATTTCTGGTGGCAGCCCTGGCCCCTTGCATGGGCACTTGCATAAAAAACAGTATGGCACCATTAAAATTCATTCCTGTTATACCCTTCATGAAGTTTAGGCTCATGTTTGGGTAACTATCTACTTGCTGGGAAGGAACTACTTGGAGGCTGCATTCGTCTGAAACTATTCGTATCTACACCCGAACTGCAGCTGTTATCACTCAGGCTCCATTGACTACAACCCTCTGTTGCCTGTCACTCAGCCACTGCCTTAGCCATTCAACAATATTGGAATCCAAACGTAAAGATTGTAGTTAATTGATAAGACTTCTATGTGCAACAGTGTGAAAAGCCTTACTGAAATCTAGGTAAGCAGTGTCTACTGCACCACCCTGATCTGTTATTTTAGTTACCCAATCAATAAGATTAGTTTGGCATGATCTCCCTGAAGTAAACCCATGTTGTCTCTGATCTTGAAATCCATGTGTTTTTAGATGTTCAACAATCCTATCCTTTAACATGGTTTCCATTACTTTCCCCACTACTGAAGTAAGGCTTACTGGCCTATAGTTGCCCGACTCCTCCTTACTACCTTTCTTGTGAATGGGCACAACATTTGCTAACTTCCAATCGTCTAGGACTACTCCTGTTAACAATGATTGGTTAAATAAATCTGTTAATGGTTTTGCTAGTACACCACTAAGCTCTTTTAATAACTTTGGGTGTATTCCATCAGGTCCCATTGACAGTTTCTCTGAAACTGCTATGTTTACATCTGAAGGGTTAAAACCTGGGGGACCTGGCACCCAGACCACTTCATTGAGCTGAAGTGGTCTGGGAGTCTATAGTGGTCCTTTAATAGTATAACTTATGTATGTATTTTAAAGTTCTGGGCTCAGCCTTTTCACGAACTGACATTTGTATACAATTTATAGTTTTTCTTTTATACAGTTTAGTTTGTGAATCTAAGGGCTGATTTAGGGAATTACCATCAGTGAACTGTATTTTGTACCGAATGTGCATATTCAGACTTTCCAAATGAATATACTGTGGACATTCAGAAATCCGAGGCAACCATTACTAATAAAGTCCATGCACCTCCAGGTACTCCACTGTCCAGTCGCAGCCAATGCAACACTGACCAACACACACACACTGACAGACACACACAGACAGACACTGACAGACACACACACTCGCTGACACACAGGCAGACACACTGACTGACAGACACATAGACACACACTGACAGACAGACACACACTGGAATCTTCTGCATTACAACTCCCATGATGCTCTTACAGCCATAATTCTTGCAAAATATCAGGAGTAATGGGTCTAGGTTCAGACAGAGGCACAGGGGGCACTTATGGCTCTGATTTTGTGGGGGCACCCTGCCTTAGGAGTGGGGCTGTCCTGAGAAATTTTAGATGGCTCAGTAATAACAATTTATGCAACTAAATCATAATTTAGAACAAGAACAATGTACCGTATATACTCGAGTATAAGACGAGTTTTTGGGCACATTTTTTGTGAAAAAGCTCCACGCGTCTTATACTCGAGCCTGTGTCTGTACTATGGCAACTTACATTGCCATAATACAGACCAGGACTGCCGGGCTCATTACAAGCCTGGCGGTCCTGTTGGGGGCTGGGAGCAAGCTGTTACTTACCTTTACAGCATCTCCGTTCAGCTCCCTTCTCCTCTGTGCCGTTCAGCTCCAGTGTAAGTCTCGCGAGAGCCGCGGCCATCAAGGTTGCCACCAAGGTTACACACTCTGCATCATACACACACACACACTGCATTCATTATATACACACACTACACAAACACACACACTATGCATTAATTATATACACACACTGTAAATAAATATTCAATTAATATAATTTCTTGGGGATATAATTTTATTTAGAATTTTACCACTAGGTGCTGCATTTCCCACCCTAGTCTTATACTCGAGTCAATAAGTTTTCCCAGTTTTTTGGGGTAAAAGTAGGGGGTCTCGACTTATATTCGGGGCGACTTATACTGGACTATATACGGTATCTTATTTGCACAGAATGATTTCTAAACACACTGACGACAAGCCCATGCTTCGAATATACTCCATTGACTACAACTCTCTGTTGCCTGTCACTCAGCCACTGCCTTACCCATTCAACAATATTGGAATCCAAACTTAAAGATTGCAGTTTATTGATAGGCCTTCTATGTGCAACAGTGTCAAAAGCCTTACTGAAATCTAGGTAAGCAGTGTCTACTGCACCACCCTGATCTATTTTAGTTACCCAATCAATAAGATTAGTTTGGCATGATCTTCCTGAAGTAAACCCATGTTGTCTCTGATCTTGAAATCCATGTGATTTTAGATGTACAACAATTCTATCCTTTAACTTGGTTTTCATTACTTTCCCCACTACTGAACTAAGGCTTATTGGCCTATAGTTGCCCGACTTCTCACTACTACCTTTCTTGTAAATGTGCACAACATACTCTAACTTCCAGTCTTCTGGGACGACTACTGTTAACAATGATTGCTTAAATAAATCTGTTAATGGTTTTGCTAGTACACCACTAAGCTCTTTTAATAACTTTGGGTGTCTTCCATCAGGTCCCATTGACTTATTTAAAGATAATAGGAATAGCAACAAAAAAAAAAATTCAAATTGCTGCAACCAGGAGATAGTTACTAACACTTACAATTCTTAAATAGGTGTATTCAAAACCTCCGTATTTAAAGTTTGCAGAAGTGGTAAGTCTGCTAAACAATGTAATACAATAAATCAGCAATTGTAATAACAATTAAATCTTCAATATACACAAACCAAATGAAAGTACCGTATATACTCGAGTATAAGTCAAGTTTTTTAGCACATTATTTTTGTGCTGAAAACCCCCCACTCGACTTATACTCGAGTCAAGGTCTGTATTATGGCAACGTACATTGGCATAATACAGACCAGGACCGCCGGGCTCATTACAAGTCCGGCGGTCCTGTTGGAGGCTGGCAGCGAGTTGTAACTTACCTTTCCTGCAGCTCCCTTCTCTCTTCTCCGGTCCGTCAGCTCCACTGTAAGTCTCGCGAGAGCCGCGGGGTCAGATCTGTGGCAACCCTCCTCGCGGCACTCAGACCGCGAGACCTGCACGGGAGCTGACTGGACCGGAGGAGAGAGAAGGGAGCTGGAGGAAAAGTAAGTTACAGCTCTCTGCCAGCCCCCCTCCTACACAGCTCATCCACTGGATCACCAGGAAATGGGAGCCCCCCTCCCTGGCCAGCTGACAAGCAGGGAGGGGGAACAAAAATAAAAAAATTAAATAATATTAAAATAAAAATATTAATATTAAAAAAAAAAAAAAATTTAAATAATAAAAATGCTCTGCATCACATACACTGCATTCATTATATACACACACTGTAAATAAATATTCAATTAATATAATTTTGGGGGGATATAATTTTATTTAGAATTTTACCACTAGGTGCTGCATTTCCCACCCTAGTCTTATACTCAAGTCAATAAGTTTTCCCAGTTTTTTGGGGTAAAAGTAGGGGGTCTCGACTTATATTTGGGTCGACTTATACTCGTGTATATACGGTACATGAATTGTATCAACAAGTAAAGAAAATGGTAATAGTTTCAGTCCTTAATATGTTTGAAACACCATAAACAAGCAGAACAGTCCTAATTAGTCTTGTGAGCTGTATTCTCCTATTTATGTATGGCTGAAATCCCTTCTATTGAAACAGCAGGGAAAACTAGCCAATGGGAGCACAATATTACTCTAGTAATAGCATTAATAGTATGGTACACATAAATAATAATGCAATCCACTGTGTGAAGAAATGTCGATGTAGAAATGTATAATGAACTTTTCTACATATAAATCAAGTTATTAACCGACAATGTTCTCCATCCAACACCAGCCGTTGGTCTTCATAGTATAAAGTGCAGAAACATGTCTTTCATCAAAAAAGATTTTATTCTAAAAAATATATATAATTATGTAAATATATTAAAATCAAAGTTATTCACAGACGGCACAAAAGTGTAGGAACCTTTTTCTGGAGTCTCACCACCCTCAGTCTTGATACTCTGCTGTTGCTGACTGTCAGAAGCCGGCTTACAGACAGCTGCAGAGTCCTGTGTGTCGAGGAACTGAAAATGAGATTCGCCGCGTTCGTTCCACTTTGGTTCACTTTGCTTTCCAATCTGTGTAGGTGTATCGGTAAGATGTAGCCTTACGCGTTTCGTGACGATCTGTCACTTCATCAGAGTACTTCTTTCATCTAGAGCTGGATATTTATACACTATAGGCATTCGGTTCATATTAAACCTTTGGTTACTTAATTCTTATACCATAATAAATTTTTAAAGGTAAAATATGAATCCCTTAAAAACAATAGTAATCAAATGATTACATCTAGAAATTAACATGATAAAAAATAGAAACAAATGGAAATAAAAATAGAACTAAAAAATAATAAATGCATAGATAAAAAGGAGAGGTTATATTAAAATGCCCCAATATTTAAAACAGTATTCTTAAAACACTAAAACATAGTGAAAGGACCTTTTACAATCATCAATTCCTAATCTTGATGTATAAATCATAAATGACCAGAAACTTATTTTACATATAACCTAATGGATCTAAAAATTCAAAGCTTACATCATCACATTGTATATTAATATGGTCTTTCCATAGTATGAATGTACTGAGAGAATAAACTAGAAAAAACAAAATGAAGTATAAAGTATAAACAGACCATAAAAGAGCACCAATTATATAATTATGTTTTGTACAAATGCAGATGTGATACATGGTACCATCACTACTTCATAATCATATTGAAATACTCTATTTTCAAAAATTAATAAATATATAATAGAAATTGTAATTGTGCAGTTCTTCATTCTAAAAGTACTGACTTAATAATAGAAATATAAAAGAGATAAAATCAGAAAGAGACCAAACAGAGAAAATAAGAAAAGGAGAAAAATGGCAAAGAGAGAGGCTAACTTAAAAAAAGAGTCCTAATTGATAGAACTCTCTCATAAAAGATTCTCATAAAAAAATTCTCATAGAAAAGCATTCAGCTCAAAATCCAAGTTCAGACCTTTTGGTTCTAGAGTGTCCAGCTGGAATATCCACTTTGCTTCGGCTCTATCCAGAGCCTTTTCCAAATTCCCCCCTCTCCAGTGTAGCTTAATTTTTTCAATGGCCATAAATTGTAGTCCTTCTGGATTGCTTGAATGTGTCTGGAAGTACCTGGAGAGATTGTGTATTAGGAGACTTTTCTTGATGTTCCTGATATGTTCAGCTACTCTTATTTTAAACAATCGCTTGGTTCTACCAATATAATATTTACCACAAGGGCATATTAAAAGATATATGACTCCGCTTGTGTTACAATTCAAATTTTCTTTTATTTTAAACATTTCTCCAGTTATTGGATGTTTGAACTCATAGATCTGAGATATTTGCATTGTGTTGTAACGGCATCCCATGCATTACTTATTTGTCTTTACTTTTGACAGTTGAAATAGAACCTCTTCCTCTGTAAACTCACATGTAATAAATTACTCATTTGTCCCTTTTTCCTAACTGAGGTCCCTTTCCTTCATTTTCATATGTAAATACTGAACAAAAATATTAATTGAGGCAGTTAGCTAGACCTTTATCCTCTTCTACATACCTTCCTTTTGTTTTTAATCTAACTAATCCTTGTTTTACTTTCCTTTTCTCATTTATGTATCTAAAAAATGTTTTGTCCCCTTTTTTGACTGACTGCTATTTTCTCTTCCGTATGTGATTTGGAAGTTCTTATAACTTGCTTAGCCTCTTTCTGCCTAATCTTATAGATCATTCTGTCTTCCTCACTGGGTTTTTTTTATAATTACTAAATGCTAACTTTTTTTTTTACTATTTTGGCCACATCTGCGGAGTACCACAGTGGTTTCTTGAATTTTTTGCTTTTACTGACAAGCCTAATGCAATTTTCTGTTGCCTTCAGCAGTGCAACTTTTAAATAATCCCATTTCTGTTGGACTCCATTTAAATTGCCCCAGTCTGATAATGACTCCTTTACACATATTCTAATTTTAGAAAAGTCTGTTTTTTTAAAGTCTAAAACTTTTGTTTTTGTGTGGTGTGACTCAGTCACTGATCTTATATTAAACCACACTGACTGATGATCACTGGATCCTAAACTTTCACCTACAGTAATATCTGATACCAAATCTCCATTTGTTAACACTAAATCTAGTATGGCCTCTTTACGAGTTGGCTCCTCAACGACTTGTTTTAGAGACAATCCCAGTAGGGAGTCTAGAATATGTGTGCTCCTGACACATGCAGATATTTTTGTTTTCCAGTTCACATCAGGAAGATTAAAGTCACCCATGATGATAACTTTCCCCTTCATTGTCATTTTAGCTATTTCCTCAACCAGTAGATTAACTCTTCTATTTGTCCTGGGGGCCTATAAATCACACCTACAGGAGTTGCTGCGTGATTACCAAATTCTAACGTAACCCAAACAGACTCTATGTTCACCTCACTAATTTTTATTAGGCTAGATTGTATGCTATCTTTCACATACAGGGCCACCTCCCCCTTTCTTGCCTTCCCTGTCTTTTCTATATAAAGAGTATCCTGGTATTGCTATGTCCCAGTCATGTTTCTCATTATACCATGTCTCAGTAACAGCGACTAAGTCTACATTATCCGTTGCCATTATTGCCACAGGTTCGTGGATCTTATTCCCTAAACTGCGAGCATTTGTAGACATGACTCTAAGCTTATCATTTTTTAACACACTTGCTACAGGCACCTTCTGTCCTTGTTTTGGGGGGCAATTGGATTGATGTTTTATCACCCTTTTGCCCCCCCCCCCTCCTAGTTTAAATACACCCTAGCAAAACCTCTGATCTGCTCACTGAGAACATTTGTTCCCTTTTGAGAAAGATGCAAACCATCTTTTTTGTACAGTTTATTTCCATTCCAAACAGAGCTACCATGAGAAATAAAGCCAAATCCTTGCTCCCGACACCATTCACCAAGCCACAAGTTAAAGTCCCTAATACGCATCCGCCTGTCGTTCTGAGTGTTATGCACAGTTAGAACTTCAGAGAATGACAGTGTAGAGGCAACTTGCCTTATCTTATTGGCAAAAACACTAAAAACTTCCTTTACCTCTGAAACCTCATTGCAAGCCAAGTCATTTGTCCCTAGATGGACAAGTACATCCAATTCCCCTTCCTGCTTTGCTAGCTTAACAATATTACAAATACGTCTCCTGTCTCTGTGAGCAGTAGCTCCAGGAAGACATCTCACAAGACCACCATTGTCCATCTCCACACCTCTTATGATGGAATCCCCCAACAACAACTGCTTTCTATTAGGACTCACCATAGTCTCCAAGCCTGTCTCCACAAGACCACTACCTTCAGTGGCTGAGCCTGTCTCCACAACAACACTGCCCTCAGTGCCTGAGCCTGTCTCCACAACACCACTGAAAGTGGAGAAAATTAATTATGTAGAGCAACAGACTGTGCAATATGCCTTTTATCCACAACTCTAAGTCTACCAGATCCTACAGTAATCCATCTACCATCCTAGTACGTCTCTGCTGCAGTGACTTTGCAGCAGTTCCAGCCTGAGTTTGTTTACCAGATAATTTACAAATCTCAGATTTCAAAAATACAATCTCCTGCCGCAATATAGAGAACTATCTACAGATTAGACAGCATCCAAATCTCCAAAAAGTGTAACGTGAAACAAATGCATAACATCTATAACACTGAACTAAGTCTGCCATTTCAATGAGGTGAATAATTTAAATCAAACAAATCTTAATTTTTTTGCTCTCCTGAATACTTCAGATTATCTCCAGAATATCTCCAACCACACACTTAGAAGCAGCACTCTCCAGAATATCTCCAGCCACACACTTAGAATTAGCACTCGCCAGAATATCTCCAACCAGACACTTAGAAGCAGCACTCTCCAGAATATCTCCAACCACACACACAGAAGCAGCACTCTCCAGAATATCTCCAACCACACACTTAGAAGCAGCACTTAGATGAA